TACACTCTGCAGGAATGCCTTCGTGCCTGCAGGACAGTCGCAATCATTTGTATGATGCAGCTCTGAATTTGAGATTGGGCTCAGTAGAAGCTCGCAGGCAGGCGAGCTTCTACTTATCTGAGCAGTTCCCATCTGCTTGGCCTCTGGACATATTTTGTTCTCACCTATTAGATTCAGAAGCATCCCTCACCCAATCTTACTAAAAAAAAAAAAAACACAGTAAAATACAGTGATTAGTCTTTACAATTTTGCTGTCTTTTTGTTTGCCACTCAGGTGTAACTTAGCAAACTGCAGCTGGATTTTCCCCCCCCCTGCAAACTCATCTGTGCATAATTTCTACCCTGCGGCTGTAATTTCTGCAGCTGCTCCCACATAAATGTCAAGCAGCTTCTCACACAGATGCAGACAGGACTGCTGGTGCTGCAGAAAAACCTTCAGCCAGGTGTAATCGTGTTTGTGAGAGAAGCTTTCCTGCTGCTCTGACTTGCAGCTGTCCTGCAGGTCCAGGAGAAGCATGTTTATGGCAGAATGAATCAGTCAGCATTAATAAGGTCTTAACCTGGAATACGATGAATAAATTGTTGCTTTGAACATATTTTATTCAAATGGGACTATAAAAATGTTGACAGGGCTTCTCATTAAAAATAACTGATGTTCATAGTTGACAAAAGACTCATCTTTTGCCTTTAATGATAACGTTATTCAGACTCTTGTCTCATTCTGTTCGGAGCTCAGAAACAGAACAAGCTGTAGTTGTCTTCTTGTTGCGCAACGTTCTTCAAGAGTTGGGAAACTTCCTCAACAATTTGATATACATCTTAACGTCCAAAAATCTAAAACAAAGTGTAATTTTTTGCAAGAACAAACTGCTTGGAAAATGATTTCGCCAGGAAGGCTTTTGAAAACATTTAGTCTACGAGAGCGTTTTTATGTGTGAGCGCGGTCAGACTTCCAGACCTTATCTCTGTCCTGCCATCCATTGTGTTGTGTATTCATCCATTTCTCCTGCAGTCTTCCTCCAGTTCACTGCGAGGCTGATCTTATCCGACTCTCGCGCAAACATTTGTCCAGCTCTTTGCCAACAAAATCAAGCTCAAGCAGCCGTTGTTTACATGTGGCCTTGTTCTGTTCGTTTTCTTCTCAATTTGCAGGCATGCGTCTATTATAAAGTGATGAAGTCTGAAGACCGTGGATGGAAAACCTTTTAGTGTTGCACTGAATCTGGTTTGTTCAGGATTCCACTGTGTGTTTTATCTAAAGTCTTGTGTTTATTTCCTGCGCTGCTCGACGTGATCCATCGGTTTACATCGACTTCACCACATCCTGTAAGGAACAATTTAAATGTTAGCATTCTCCCAGGATTTACTGCCTGTTTGATCTCCCATAACATCTGATTTATAAAACCCTTTTAATTGCGTCTAACGCAGAGGGGAAATGAGACGAACCCAAAGAGTCCTCAGAATCTTCAGCGCAGTCATTAAAGTGGCATCAGACGGATTCCTCCTGTCCTGTCTGACGCCTTGACTTTGACCGACGGGTGGCTCTGCTTCTGCTTTCAGGGAAACCGCTGGCTGATCGCCCGGTGAGGTTGCCCGGACGGGTATTACACGCCGCGCTGCAGGAGTGGGAGTTCACCGAGCTCCAGAGCCAGAACCCAGGACTGCCTCTGTACTGCCAGGGGGTCTTTGATGCCATCACTGTGGGTGAGGTCCAGATGAAATATTGCGCAGAAGGACTGGATTTTTTTGTCTGTTTTAATATAAAATGCTTCATTTCTTGCGGTGACGTGTGTGTAGATGAGAAGCAGACAGTGCTGGTGTTCCGGGGCAGCCGGTTCTGGACGGTATCGGCCGAAGGCAGAGCGAGCGACCCGCTCCTCCTCCGCCAGCGCTGGCCTGGCCTCCCTCGGGCGATAGAAGCTGCTGCCTTTTCCCCTCTGGACTCCAAGTGGTATTTTTTCAAAGGTGCTGCTTCGCTGAGCTCATTGGACCCCATACTTCACCTAACCTGCCGACTGCCAACACATATGTGATGCAGGTCCCAAAAATAGATTGCGATGGGGTCATTTATGGAGCGAAACGCTATTTAAAGAGCTTGCTGCTCTGGAGCTTCAGCCGTGGGTTTGAATTAGTGTCTCCTCTGCGCTGAAGGCTGATGAATCGTTTGAAGTGTCCCGCAGCCAAAGACTTGTCTCGTCGGAGTCCTCTCATCTGCTGCGTGCAAATAGGTTTTCTATTAGCAACTGAAGCTCTTTCAAAGCCTAATTCAAGCTCTTATGTGGTACATTGTATTTCTAATACTGTACACCAAACAGCCTCCGTTCTGAGGAGTCATCCACAGTGCCTTGTGAAAGAATTCATACTCCATGAATCTTTTAGTATCAGTATATTTCAACTACTTCTTTTATTAATAATCTCTCAGCGCGTCGCGTTTAGGTGGACGGCTCTGTTTTCAGATGGTAAATTGAACATTGCATAGAGCCATTCAAAGTTTGGTCTATTGCTTACTAATCTTAACCTGGTTTTACATTTTCTCCCTGACCTTTCTGCAGTGAGCATTGCATAGTGAGTAGACCTGCTGGCTAATTAGTTGACTTAGTTAGTTGTTGTATCAGATTTTATTGAAGTGTACCAGAGAACATGGGACTAATAAAAAATGCACATCACTCTTTTAAGATTTTCTTTTGAACTCGGTGTGTTTTTGTCCTGCAGGGAAGCGGATGTGGCGTTACACGGGGACTGTGCTGGACCCGGGTTTCCCCATGCAGAACAAGGCGCTGGGTCTGCCTCGCCGCCTGGACTGCGCTTTTTACTACACCCCTCTGGGTCACATGGTGCTCTTCAAGGGCTCCCGCTACTTCGTGCTCAACCTTAAAACTCTTCGCCCGGAGCCCTATTATCCCCGCCGGCTGACAGACTGGACCGGCCTGCCGCGGGGCACCAACGGGGCGCTGACCCGTCCCGACGGCCGACTTTACCTGTTCAAAAACCAACGGTTCTGGAGGTTCGACCCTGTGAAGGTGCGGGTCACCAGAGAGGGCCAGTGGGCCAAGGATTTAAGCTGGACTGGCTGCAGTAATATACCTCGGAGTAATAGTATTCTCTGACCACCAGGGGGAGCTGCAAAATTAAAAGTGCAATGTATTCACATTGAGGAAAGGTCCTGCACTTTTTTAGAACAAAAGCTCTTAAATTGCAACTGGATCCTGACAGTGACGACGCTCCATTAGCATACACAGTATTTATACTACTGAATACGAGGTATTTGCAAATTTTGTAATTGTTGTCGAATTAATGCAGATTTGATTTGACCTGCCAATTTCAAATTGGTAGTGCAACAGTCTATTTGGTTTATATTTTTTAAGAGAAATGATATATTTTAGTCATAGCCTGTTCAGTCACCTTTACTTGTGGCAGGTTATGTGTGTGAACTTTGACCTGTGACTGTTCTCTATGTTCCCAACAGAAAGCCCAAAGCTTCCAACATTGTGGGAACAAATAGTAGCCAAATAAGAGTAGACACTTGGTGGATTTTATTCTTTCCATGTGATAGGCCTGTGTGCAATAAGAGAGGGCGCAGTGAAGTGGTTTTATATATATATGCTTTATATATATAAGCAGGCATGAACATCATAAAGCTTCATGTTATTATTATATGCAACAACATGAGTTAAGATACATTAAAAAGATGAAATGTTTTGTTTTATTGGGACATTCTGCTTTAAATAATCAGTTGGTAAATTAGCCAAACCTGACAACCTGATCACAAAGCCACCGATCATCTCTGACATGCTGCTGTATCACAGGGCAGTAAGCTGGCACTTTCAAATAAACGGCTTTGATAAACCAGGCTGGAGCATCAACACCGGACTAACATTGTGTTAAAAGACGCATGCTCTTTCAGCAGAAGAACGCTCAGATATGGAAATATACCTGATGACATTCTCCAGATGAACTATTAAAACTCTGTGAGCTTAAAACAAAACCAGATGCGTTTGTAACGATGTGTATTATTTTGAAATATCTAGAGACTTCACAGATTTTTTTTCACTTCATGAAAAAAAGCCTTCATTTTGAGACTTTGAAACATTTGTAAATGTAAGTTATAATTTCTTTTTAAATAAAGGTTCTATTGTTAAATGTGTAGCTTTACAATAAGAACTTTTCAGCGTTTCCTGAAAGGAGTGTCTCGACTTGCTTTTTCAGCAAAAAAATAAAACGGTTGGTAAAAATAACAGACATCTGAGAAATCCATATAGATACCTCTCATGTTTCATATTCCACTTGAACTGTGGGATTTCTGTGGCTCTTTTTTTCTGTGACAAACCAAACAAAACAACAAAAAAAAAAAGAAGCATTTGCAGAGTTAAGACTAGAGGTGCACTAATCAGGGCTTTGTGGCCAGTACTTCACACTGAAGAAGCAAGGAAGCTTTCCCCTGTTGATTTAGATTTCTCTTTAAAAACAAATATTTCTTTCTAGATTTCCTGCATCCTTACTTATTCATATTAGGAATACAAAGGCGACAGTGATCAAAGTTTGTCCTGTAGCCAGTGGCTTGTCGTTCACAACTCCTGCTCTGTGTCTTAAAGCAGAAGGCTCCTCTTTGTACACGGAAAACTTGAGCTCAATACAAAAAAAGTGCTTGAATTAGCATTCAACATATAAAACATATTTCCAAAGAAAATGGTTTCCTTTTAAACAGCTTAATACACATTTTATACTTCCTGTCAAATTACTCATTACTGAGTCTTCTTTCTGTAACAACAACCACACTGAAGAGTGTTTTTAGCTCAACTTGGTAGTGGTTAGATGTTGGTGCATTTACTGACCAGACAAAAAGATGAGCTGAAAGTCCACTGACTCCAGTCACTGGCGGTCAGCTGTCAATCATAGCTGATCGTTGTCATATGGCTTGAGTCCATGTGCGTTCTTCCTTTTAGTAATGATGTCTCAGTAATTCCTAACAGAGAGGTAAAAATTAAGCACAACCGTTCCTGTATTCTAGATTAGTATCATTTTTATTCAGGTATAAACTTTCCTATGCAGCAGGAAATCTTCTGCCCGACTTGGATTTTAGACAGAAATCTGTTAACCACATACATCATTTGAAAATCCAAATGCAATACTTTGCAAAAATATGAATCCCCCTTGAATTTTGTCACATTTTTAACTACACTCAAACTTTACATTTATTTTATTGGGATTGTATGTGAGACCAACACAAAGTAAATAACCATCAAATGGAAGAAAAAGGTTACATGGGTTACTCTTTTTTTTTTTTTTTGCAAATACAAATCTGAAAAGTGAAATGCAGATATCAGGTAAAAAGTGCAGTAGTTGCCGGTAAACATAAAAAAAATAATAAAAATCACCAAAAATAAATGAGATGCAGGAAGGGTTTGGTGATATTCCAAGCTTTGAACATCTCATGGAGTTTCATCATCTGAAAATAGAAAGAATATGGCACACCTGCAAACCCATAGAGGAAGAGCGGGAAGACGAAAGTTATAAGACGTCAGAGCAAACATGTAGAAGAAGGTCTGATCACATGCAAAACACTGGAGGAAAGCTCCCACAGCAGTCTTATATTGAAAACGTGGTGGCAGCATCATGCTGTGGGACTTCTTTCATTCAGCAGTAACAGGGATGCTGATCAGAGCTGATACTTTTTTTTTATGACAAAAAGAAAAATGTAAAACAATCATAATTTGTCATCAATTTCCAAATTATCCTCTACTTTATACTGGTCTATCACTTGAAATCCAAATAAAATGCATTGGTGTTCATGGTAGCAACATTAGGAAATGAGAAAAACTTTAAGGTGAATATTATTGTAAAGTACTTTGTAAAAGCTTAACAGTCTGCACTGCTGACATAATCTCAAAGTTGCTGGGTCTCTGGAGAGTGTCCTTGTTGTAAAACATGAACCAGTAATACCAGTATAGCCACTTAAAGGGTTCAGACACCTCTGGGTGAAGCGGGTCGCCTCACTTTGCTACGTTTCGTTCTCCAGAACAGGCCCTCATTTATCAGGATGCACCACTGTGACCTGTGGACAGATTATACGACGGGGAATCAGATAAAGAACTCATCGACTGGCTCCTCATGGTTTATGTATGGAGACAACAGCTCTGTCGATGAGCTGTTCTCTGCCAACAGCTTCTGTGAAGGCCTTTGTCCCCTTGCAGTGGGCCTGATCTTCTCTGTTGCACCTTTGCAGCCACCAGAGGGCGCCTGATGGTTAATATGAGTCTGTGGCAAACATTTAGTTAATTCCTTGGCCTGCTGCTCCACAGCCACTGAAGGCCTCTCAGAGTTACGAGTCCTCAAGAGGTCAAAAGAGGAGGAGCGAGTGATGGTTGCGACGGTGGTGTCTGAGAGGGGAGAGACGGCGTCTCCAGTGTCGACGTTGGTCTCCTCTTCTTCCTCTTCCAGGAGGAGATGGGAGAGAGAGCGGGTGACGGAGGGACGCAGGGGAGAGTCGGGGTGGTTGGAGGTGGAGAGCTGAGCGGGGCTGCTGCGCTGAGATGAGTAACAGGAGCTTCCAGGAGGGGTGCTGCAGCAGCTGCCTGACCCCTGGCTTTCTGCTCCTCCACATCCTCCAAGCAGCTTGTCAAGAACAGGCTCGCCGCGCAGTCCGGTTCCTGGCAAACATACATCAGCAGGCTCATATAAAATGTTGCCAATAACAGGAATTTGTATTCAGTTCCTTTTACATTAATAGTTTGAAATCCAATACAGTCAATTAATCTTAATGCAAAAGCAGCTGTTCTGTTAAGGCCTCTGTGATTCTGTTTGTTAGTGAAACAGAATCGCAGCAGACAGGTCAGGGAGAAAGTTGTGAAGTTTGCAGCAGAGTTAGGATACAGAAAAATATCAGTTCAGAGTTGCAATGAACTGCTTAGATCAGGGGCCTCCACAGTGCAGCCTAGTGGCCATTTACAGCCCTCTGAATTATTTTTTATGGCCTGCTCAACCTCAATTCTACAATCAGGGCTGAAAGCACTCCTGTCGGGGGCCACATCTGGTCTGTGGCCCCAGACCACAGACCAAAATGAGTCCAGTCTGTAACTACCTACCTTGCCTGTGAGTTTGCATCGTCAGGGAAGCAGTGAGGCCGCATGGCAGGAAACCGTTTCCGTGACCGCCGCTCCGGAGCTGCACTCCTTGAGGTGGCAAACTGAGGCAGGTGAGAGGGAACGCACAGGTCAGAGGTCGATGTGGTTGAGCTGGAGCCTTCACCTGCAGCACAGGAGGAGAAGGATTGTAGTTTACCCCAAAACTTTAAATTTTAGCATAGTAATTAAAAGTTTTTTTTTTTTTCCTTTTCCATTTTTAAAGAGATTCATTCAGTTTCATTCAATATAATCTCTCTAGCACAGCTTTACTTCAAAGCAAAAAATCAGAATAAATAAAAACAAAACAGGAGTGTCATAGTAGACATCTAAACCAGATCCAGCTGAATAATCACAGGACTGAAAAAAGTTGTTAAATATTTATTACATTTAAAAATATAAAACAGATGCTAAGCTCCTCTGCCTTCTCTGTGTGGCTCTACTGCTATCTGCAGAAATACACAGCTTGGTCACAAACAATCAATTAGAGCCAGTAGTAGTATCCACTGCTCATAATTTATAAAACATCACACTTTTAAACACATAATTTCTTAAACTCACTTGAAAGAGGACCTTGTTACCATCCAGGTCTTCAGTCTGCCAGCGTGTATCACTGATGGGGGCACAGGGGTTGGGCAGCAGGGGGACCAGCTGTCCCACTTCTTCCACACTGAACTGCAGCACAGCAGAGCTGCATGCTTCCACTCCAACCCCTGGAGACAGCTGTTTTAAAGCCAGCTGAAGGCAGAGACCAGGCTCTATGCAGCAAGGACAAAAGGGAGCAGCAGGCACACATGTGATGACGCAAAACAAAACAGAGGAATATATTGTGGGACACCATTTAAAATCCGTGGCTGGATTTCTCACTTAAATGAAGGTTAAAAGAACTTAAATTCAACCTGCATGGAGGGTGAACCAGCAGAAACCAGCCTTCTGCTCCTCGGCTTGTCGTTGCAGAACCGTCTCGTAGAACCTCACAGCGTCCTCATAGTTGTCATCGCTGCTGTACAGCGTTATACGCAGGATTTCTCCTCCACAGTGCACGGGTCGCACCCCCCACACAGGCATGCCGGGGCCCAGACTGTAAAAGTCTCTGCTTGGCAGGAGGTAGGGCCGCAGCAACGCGTTGGAGGGGGAACTGCTGGAAGTGATGTGGATCCCTCTGGTTCGGCTGCCGCAGCTCTCAGTGTGATGGTACTGCCAGGGCGGGCGCTGGAAGAAGTCCAGCACTTTGAGGATCCGCTCCTCTCCGTAGGCTTCATGGAGGAAGAAGGTGATGGCCAGAGAAGGGTAGTCTGAAAAACAATGTAGGCAACGGTTGGATTTTTACAAATACAGTCACAAGAAAAGCAGAACCAATTAAACTAAATTACAGTTAAATAAACAGAAGATTAGAAAACGTGCCACTTCATTTTCTTTAATATCGGTTGATTGCAGTCATCAAATTCTCAATTTCCTTGATCTCTCCTTGCTATTGAACGATTACTTGAATTCTTTGCGATGAAAGATGAGGGATAGCAGAAATCCTCACCGGCCACAGGACGAAGGTGAGTGTGAGCTCTGAAGGCAGAAGCCCTCTCTGATACATGGAAGACCCGGAGGCTCGGGCACAGCCAGCGCAGCAGGCGGTCCAGCGTCTGCTGCAGAAGCAAAGAATCTCCAGGGTTGGCCAGCAAATGCAGGTTTATCGGCAAGAGTGGTTGTTGGCGGTGCTGCCTGGCCCGGCCGCTCATAAGCTCACCTAGGATGAAAAGTCGTCATGAATAAAATAAAACTAAATAAAATGGAAATGCACATTCTCAGCATACTGCAAGTTTGCATGAATTCAGCGGAACACCATATGTTTAGTATTGCTTTTGACAAGAATAAACTTCCTATGAGTTAGGAGAACAGCATAAGCTCTGAAGAAATATACTTTCACATCTCCTGTCACTTTGATAAAAAAATTCATAAATGTAAGTTATGTAAAGATAAAGACAATAACAAACTGCAAACATACATGTTTTACAGCTTTACAAGAGTAAAAAGGTCCTTTGAGAAATTATTTTATTCCTACATGAGTAAAGGAATACTTACTAGCAGACGACGACATTCTGCTGCCGTCAGATCTGAAACAAGTGAAATAATGAGAAGTCACTAGGTGGAAGAAAGAAAAAATGGATCATCATATTATTGATTAAAAACAAATGCAAAACCTGAAGGGAAAAATATTAAGATATAAATTAAATAAGGTTAATACAGAGAGATTACAGAGAGATGATGGGCCACTCTGAGTCATGGTGGGCAACAATCCTCTCATCTTGAATGTGAGCAAAATAAAATTTGCTTATAGATTTTATGAGGCACCGGGTTAGATCATAATTTATATCCTTCATAGGCAAAGAAGTAAAGCATGTACTTCTTGAGTAAACTAAGATCCATCAAGGTTTGCAGCAAGATGCTGCTGCCACCATCTGTCGGGGTTGCAGCATCAGAGCCAGGGACCTGAAAAGGCTCAACGTCTGGTTCTCTTTTGGGGACAACTCTGGAATTTCCAGAAATGATGACACAAAGAAAGATTTACCATCAAATCCAAAAGATGACGGACAACCCTGTCCTTCCTTTTTATGAGAGAGCATTAGAAACAAAGGCGCAGTGATACAGACCGCTACCACAGATCTTTCCTTCCCACAGCCATCACAATCTACAAAAACTCCCCACAACATTTAGTTTCCCTTTGCAATGAAGAAAAATATTTTTACATTTTGAGTAGCTCACTGAAGCTTAAAATAAAAAGTTTTAATAAAATCGCGTAATTAGATTTTACAACTATTACAAATAAAGTAACAAAGGTGCAACAGAAAGTCTATCGATGACCCAATGGTGTCTCACGAATCACCAAAACATCTGTAATTCTGTAGAAGTCATTCAAACCACGAAGCTCTGTCGCCATCTTGTGGTCATGTGTGTTTGGAACCCAGCCCGCTCCTGCGGTCACCATGACAACATTTTATCTGTTAGCTTGCAAGACCTGAAAAAAAGTGTAATTATAGGAAAAGACGACACACACAGAAAAAAACTGCACTCACAGCCCCAAGAAAGTCTTAAAAACCTCTAAATAGTTTGGGCTTTTACAGTTTAAGCCAGTTATGTGGCTTTCCGGGCAAATTAAGGTCCATTGTGTGCTAGAAAGCGAATTTGTTCGGCTACGCGTTTAGCCGCAAGCTAAAGCCGATACTCACTCGGCTGTGTCAGCTCCGGAGTCCACGTTTTCATCCCCGGCTCTTCGCCACATCGTCAGGTCCACTCTCCTTACATTTGGGCTCCAAGCTGAAAGTTTGAGCAGCGTTTCCAGCGAGCCCATCCAGCAGAGTAAAACATCCTGGCTGGTTTCCACAGCCTTCTAAAGTGGGGGAAACAACGGAGACCGGGATCTTACTGGGACGCTGACGTCACTAGGCAACCGCACATCGTCAGAATAAAAAGAAACGTACTCACTCCAGAAAGTACAAAAACAGGAGGAGAAACCCTCGCTGCAGCGGTTTGGAGAAAACAGCCTACAGTTTGCTCGGGGAGTCGATTCTGAGCGAAAGGGAGCACAAGGAGAGGAGCGACTTTAAATCCAAAGCCGCCTATAATAATGATAACAGAGCAGATGGCAAGAGTCCCACAATATGGGAGGACAAAGGAGACAGCAGACGGCCTGGACAGATTTAAATGTGTCGGGGACGTGTTGACGGGAGGCTCTTAACCCTGGAAATTTAAGACCTTGTTTGCTGAGAGCATTAAAACCTATGAAAGAAGAGTTAGACCCAGAAATGATAAGGCGCTTTAAATCCGCAATATCGGGAGAGTGGTCAATTTGTAATTAACCTCATGTAATAAAAAGATCAGCACCGTTTGCTGATTGGTGGGAATATATTCCAGTTATTTAGTTCTTTTGTAGGAATAAAAAAAAAAACCAAACAAACTAATACTCATCTGAAATGTTTGTGTTTCTAAATTGAAATCATCAGAACAAATCTCGTAAAATTGCATGTCGATTTATGGCGTACTGGTACCATTCTCATACCAGTAAACCACATACTGAAAGCTTTAATGCCAATGCACCTTTTCTTCACACTCCATCCACTGCAGTATTCATTACTGCTTGTGGGTCTTTCGTCGACCTCTGCTATAAACCTGCAAAGTTAAAACTATTGCAACTCTTTATGGCTTCCTTAAATCATTTTGAAAGTCACTTGCCTCTCATATCAACCAGTTCCAGTTGATCAGTTCTGTGCTGGTGGCAATATAGTAAACTCACATGAACACAAAGTAGAATTAACAATCCAAAAATCTCATTAAATTTCTTAGTTTGTGGATTTAAGTTATCGGTGTTTTGTTACACTAACTACACAAGTAAGGAGGGAAGTATTTCAAATCCTCCCTGAAATTGAATGCATTTTTTATTTTTTAGAAATCTCATGCAATCAAACCAAACAAAAATGTTTTTTTTTATCTCTACATTTATTATGATGAAAACAAGGCCCTGTACAATCCACCTTTGCAGAGTACAATTATTATTTTACAATTTGTACACATTTAGAGCATGGTGTGTGACCAGTTCCACCTGTTCAAAATGTATTTGGAAATAAAATCTTGGAAACCTGCAACACAACTAGCCTCTTATTCGACGAGATCATTTTGGGCTGATCTAGCCTAAAGTAAAAAAAAAAAAGTGCCATGAGAAGCATGATTTTTAGGCCTTTCATTTCAACGATGGAGCCACAATATAAACGTACGCTTTGAAGCACCAGCTGTTGTTCGCTCTACTCACCGGTATAGACTTGGCCACGTTACTGAAAATGGCATTGAGTATTTGTCAGCTGCGAGAGATGTGCACTCTATTGAAGATGTAAAATAAACCCCAAAACAGTCAAACTTTCAAAATAAATTAAAAACTATCACTGTTCCTGAAATATTCAAGATGTATGTGTTCTGCCGTGGTTGTAAAGCAGGTCTGCACCAGTTACCACAGTTCATCTTTTTATTATATCTAAAACTCCTCTGTGAGGAAAAGGCCAAGACTGTCCAACCTGTACAGCCATTATTGTGCCACGAAACACAAACATAACACATTGACATCAACATTTAAAACAGGGGAGTGAGTTCAGATGTTTTCTCCGTCTCCATGTAGCCCCGTGTTTGCTATTCTTCACTGTGTGTAGCTAATTGGCAAACAGACAGGTCTCTCCAAAGGCCACAAGAAACAGGATTTTTTTGTGTGTTTGTTACAAAACTATATTCCCCTCTTTTAATTTCTTTCAGCAGAAGAAATCTAATATTGCTAGAAAACTTCACCAACTTTTGCATGATTTTTTCTCTTTTTTTTTTTTTTTCTTTTTTTTTTAAAAACACGTTTATGGAAGAAAGGTTAAGCTTCCCAGTGTGTCCCGAATGATGAGAGCACTTCCGAAGTTCAAACACTTAGCAGTCCACAAAAACAAGGCCCTCAGTTTCAACTTGAAGCTAGCTTTCAGTGGATTTACTGGTTATGCTACATAAGTGTACACTTTGCGGTCCTCTGGTGTTCTTGCCAAGTATTCCCTCTCAATAAGTCCTTCAATGCGCTTCTTGATGACTACTGGACTAGGAAGGAATCGTGCTCGCAACTGCTGTGTGACCTGTGGAGACGCAGAAAGTAGAAATCAGAACCAAAAGCTACATTTTGTATTATTCTGCCGTCACTCTGAGTCTGTAAAGTGCAATATTAATTGGTTAACTTTGAGGAAGGAGTGAAAAATAAAAATTTAAACAGATTTTTATAGTTACAATAAAAGGCACGTGAATGCTATAAGCTGATCAGGTAGCTGATCTGCTGAAGTATTTGAATATATGCTGCAATAATTACTAAAAAGTGTAAAGCAATATCCAACATCTTTATACAGTTTTTACTGATCCATATTAAGTGTTTTAATATTTTAAATCCCTGTGATGCTAATGATTATCATTTTGTTTAAATAATTTGTATTGTTTAAACAAAATAAAAACTTAACTTGTAATGTGGCAATCCAAACATAAAGGTTATCACTTAAACACAAATCACTGTAAAACATTATTTGTTCTTTAACAGAATTAGATCAAGTTTGGAAACACATATTTTCCATATAAAATTTTCAAATATCCAGACTTGAAAATGACTTACCTCTGCTACTAAGACATTGTGCTGCATCTTCTTTCTAGATTTCATGATGCGAACAATGGCTGCTTCAATCTCATGCTTTCTGTCATCGTCAACTTTCTGCCGCGTCTCCTTCCTCTCCGGATCAGACTCTCCCTGTTTAGCAGCCACTAAAAGAAGAAGCACAACAGTTATTGAATAAATAACTAAAAGAACAGCTGCTTTACAGCCAGTCCACATGTTTCATAAAGACTGGAGAACATTACAGGAAAGATTTATGCTCAATGCATTTTTCTCTGCACCACCTATGACTGGTTTTATGTTCATCACTTCCTCAAAGTGTCTACAGAACAGAATCTAGCTAAAAATATTTCTCCTAGGTCCTAAAAGTAAATAGACAATATAAAACAAAACAAAAGAATTGATAATCCTAAAGCTGAAATGACGATACCCCAGTGTGACAATTCACTTTATTACTATAAGATACAGCTCAATGCCAACGAAGAATTTAAGTGAAATTGATGGGAAAAATATAATTGACTCATTGACAAAAAGTTAAGCTCATTCATCAACAGACAGTAACAAAAATCTGTGGTAAACCAATTGATTAGCTGCCGATTGGAGGGGTTCGTTTTGTCTAATTAGTGATCAGCAGGTTAAATATATTTTTCTGTACTCACTCAATCCATCTTATAAGTACTGCCAACATTTTGGTGGACTTTTGTGAATGCTTTGATGCATAAATGTGTGTAATCTTATGATTACTTTTTGAGTAAATGGACAAATATGACATTTTATAAATATAAAAAAACCCCACATCAGCTCTGAGCTTTAGTTTTAAGTCCAGCAAACAGCACAGTTTGCAAGGTGATACTCTGCGTACCTGTCTGAATTTTGACCCGGTGCAGTTTAGAGGTAAACTGGTCATTGACTGTAAACACATGGCCATTTTCAATCTCCTTGGATTTGGGCTCTTTGGTGAGAACTCTCTGTGTGGGCTTCCCACAGGCCAGAGACTGCAGCGCTCGCACCAGCTCCCTCTCAGGGATATCCGTCTCCTGCTGGATTTCCTGTTATGAAAACAATTTCATTACAAAACTACTCCGACAGAGGGAAGAACCTGAAACTTTTATAACTGCATTTCTGCATATTTTATGAAAATGTAAGTGTGGTGCGTGTTGAAGTGATGAGGACAGCAGGGTGGGACGTACCTCAAAAGTGGATTTCTCCCTGTTGTTAAAAAGCATGAGAATAGTCATCTGAAAGGTGGATACTTGCAGGATGTGCTTTCTGGTGTTGGAGCCCGTCACCTGGGCCCCGCCCACTCCAACTTCTGACCCGTCCTCCTGTTGATACATTACAGGCTCATTATCAAAAAGACCTGCTACATACAAAAGCCATTCAGAAATATTAACAAAAAAGTAAGAATGGTTTGAATAGTTTTTTTCTTCTTGAAAAATGAGAATCATTTGAAAACTATCTTAGCATTTACTTGATGTTTTCTATAATATTAAAATTTGATTATATCAAACATCTAATTGTGGCAAAAAAATCTGCAAGAGCGGGCCAAACACTTTTTTACATGGAATTGTAATATTTTCACTCGAACTAAAAAAAAAAAATGACAGAACAGAACATTTAACATAACACAATTAAAACATGTAAAACCTAACACGAATGTTTCGACTTTAAGTTTCTTTGATAAAATTTCCTGCTTGAAGATCTTTGATGTCAGACACATTCTACCCACATACCTTTTTGATGGGACCATAGAAGGTGGCATTTAAATCTGCAGAACCCATATGGTGCTGCAAGGTGAGTTGTCTACCACTGTGCTTGCCGAGATAAAACCTGCAACCAGAGGAAATCATGCGTTAGGTAACGTCCAATATCAAGTCAAGAAGTTGCCACCAACAAAGAGCTAGCACAGTATTGGAGACACGCAGGTGAGAATGCTGCACACAGTGAAATGGAAACTCATTGACATTGGCCTGGTGTCAAGGCAGTAAACAGCAGTAAACAAAATGCCAGTTTAGCAGTATCAGAATTAGACTGCATAGAACTAGCATCAAGCTTTTCCTCCCAAATTAAACTGATGAAAGTAACTTCTCAACACAGTCAGAAAAAAAGATGTTTGATGGAATACAGCAAAAACTTAAATGTTTACCAAACAAACATTGATTAAGAGGATGACATTAAACAAAAGGCAAACAAAACTATTTAGTAAAGTTAAAAGAAATTAACAAGGTTTGGCTAAACCATGTAGCATGTGGTAAACCCAGCACAACACATAAAACAGGTATAGCTTAAAAAAAAAACCTTAACAGTCTAGCTAAATTGTGTTAAATGTACAAGTGACAAACCTTCTGAAAACTTCAAATGCATGACGTGGTGAAGGGGGGATATTGCACTTTGGTGTTGCTGATTGTGTAGGCCAGTATCCTGTAGTCAGGACCCTCACAGTGAGATCAACCCCTCCAAGAGAAACCTGAAGTTTGACAAAACAGAAATTGCACTAGGCCTTTAAGAAAACTAGAAAGACACAAACTAGGAATAAAAATTGTGGCAAAACAAGCAAGATTCAGATTTTTAATCATCAGTTTGTTACAGTGATAAATACAGAAGAGTGCATCAGAGCTGCAAGCCATAAACTACTGACTACAGAGAGAAAATAATCCAATTAATCCAACAGGCTGAGCTGCAGCATGTGGTGCATCCTCACCCCAGTGGTCTGGAGATGTTGCCTGAACTCATCCATGGTGGTGTTGGAAATGCTCATGTCCCGGAACATTCCCTCTAGTTTAGAGGTAAACTGACAGCCACACTCAGTCTGAATGACAGAGAACAAAGCAGACATTACAGTAAAAAATAAAGATGCATATTTCAAGTCAATGTATACAGAAATATAAAGAGCCAGACAGCATATTTTGTGTATGTTTATTCTTCGATGTTAGTTTCCTTGGATTTGAACCTACTCACTTAAAAAAGCACTTAATGCTTTTAGTTCAAGCAGCTGGTTAATTGAAGACAAATATTGAAAATATATATATTATACACAGCAGTAATTATTCTTTGTAAGATCCTTCTAGGTAGTCATTCATTTTTCTCTTAAAACAATTTCCAAGAGCTCTAAAGGGGCTTTATCTAAGTCCTGCTCACCTTTAGCTTGGAGATCATGTTCTTTTCTGAATCATCTGAGACACTCTTGTTGGTGAGCAACCTTCGAGCCAGGTGCTGCTTGTAATATCGTTCAAACACGTCCTTTTCCTGCATGAAGCGGAACAACACCATGGCCTTGTCCAGTATGGACTCCACCTCCTGCTCTGTTAGCTGAATAAAAGCAGGACAGGGTCAGCACACCCCAACACAACCACAATTTAATTATCTCCTATATCAATACTTCAAATGTAGGTTTTATTTTAAAAAAAAGAAGTAAATAAGCAAAGCAAACCCACACAAAATCTAGGAAATTCTTCATTTAGTCTGATTTAGAACAATACCAAAAAGGACAAATTGCCACACCAGGCCAGCAGTAACACTTGAGGGACATTCTGAAAAAGTTAAAGTGGCGCTTTCAAAAGAAACTCACCCCTTTTACTCCCTTCTTCAGTTTGTCATCGATGAAGAGCGAGAGATATTCAGGTGAGCGGGAGTTGAGGTTAAGGAAGTACTCGAAATCACCAGCAATAGTTTGTTTGAAGAGTCGGTCATTATTGAAAGATTCTTGGAGGAAACGGTCAAAACGCGACTTCAGGTCTAACAAACCCTGCAAGGAGAAGGCAGTAATAAACCAGCAGTCCACAGCAGCCGAAGACTAATAAAGTTATTACAGAATGAGACCAACAGGAAAGCAAATTAAAATCAATTTATGGTTTTCATGTGGTTAGATGCAGTGCGTTTTCCTTAAAGCCATCTTAAACAGCTTCTTGTTTCAGCAAACTAGAACTAACTAAAAGCATAATTTAAATTCATACCTGAATATAATCTACTGGATTTTTTCCTTCTCCCTCCTCTGAAACGAGCGCCTTGCCTTGCTCCCGCAGGTATGAGCTCATACACTCACACATGGTCTTCAGCCCATTGGGAACCCGACTGAACAGCTTGTACATACATGCTAAATCTGTGGACAGATTGCAAGAACAAAGTATTTTTACTGACTGAGATTGAATCTTTCCTGAGGTGTTTCAGTGTCAGTCTGGTGTTAACATATAATATTCATTAGCATGAAAATCAAGTTTGGCATTCAAGACTGAATAATGATTAGAAGACACAAGTTTACTAACTAAAAAAAAAAAAAGAACTGAGGGAAGTTAGCAATTAATGCAATTTTTTTTCTTCTAACCCACACCGATTCAACATAATAAATATGAGCTAAAATATAAATTCACCTATGAATTTTTCCTTTAATATTCATCAGCAACTTGTAGACAAATTGAAAAAGATGATTCACATGCATCTTTAAAAATACAAATATTATAATATTCATGTTCATGAGTTAATGTGGACACTTGACTGGATTTCGGCTTAATAAAATAAATTTAGAACTACTCAGATGAATACTAAGTGAAGAAGGTTTCCCATTTATTTGAAATGAGATCTATGAAAAAAACAAAACAAAACAAAAAAAATACATAACTTGAGTGGATTTTAAGGCCACTTATTAAAAGTGGACTTAAGTAGTATAATAATCATACTACATGTGTGAACCCATACCGTCCGTCTTGCCATTCTTCAGCATATGGACCAGGCCCGAGTTCTCCATCTCTACGATGGTCTTCATGTGCTTGGAGATGAGCTCCCGTTCCACCACCTTGACGATGGGCTCCTCTGTCGACTTGTCCAGGCAGTGCATTACCCGCTCAATCTCCTCATTAATTCTGGCCTCTACCTTCTTTATGTACACACTCGCACTGTTTTCTGAAAGGAACTTTTGGCTCTCCAGCTAAGAAAACAAGCGATTTATAGAGTATACATCAACAGTGGTTCACAGGTGCTCTGAGAATCATCTGTACAAAGTGCTATACTATCATATGTGTAATGCTCTCCAAAGGAGAAGATGCTGCTAAGGTCAAAGCCGATTTAAATTCAAACAATCAATAAGTTATGAAGAGTGAATTTTCATCCAAACCTGGAAAAATTCTGCAGACATTTCCAAGAAAGGTGCTTCAAAGTCTTCTTCATAAACAGATCTTCCTTCAAGGCCGAGGATCATTAACATTTGGCAGGCATTTCTAATGGCCCCCCTGAAGGAGAAGCAAGCCACACAACATGAAAGAAAAAACTAAAATATTTTAAAGAGGGTGAGAGTGTGCATTTCACCAACAGCCCCCAGTCAATTCTTCAATATTAATTCATTCTTTACTTTGAAAAATCCATGTAGTTGCACAGCAGGAGGTTCAGGAAGATAAATATTTTAAAATGTCAGAAGCTTTAAAGATTACCCCAAAAGGGAGAAAAGCCATGGATGTTTTAACAGTTCCTTTATTTCTTCCTCCAAATGAACATAAACCCTCTTTGATCACAATTATACCATCCTTAATTAGACATACCTTTAAGCCACTATATACAAGCTGAATTATTCATTAGGTAGCAATCTTTAATGTGTGTTGCTCGTCTACCTGTCCACCACTTCTCCCTTCCTCTCCCGTGCGATCATGTCCAGCAGGGTTTGTCGAAGGTGGTCTCTAATGCAGCCATATCGAACCACCTGATCCCTGAAGATGATGAGCCCCAGGTTGTAGACGTTTTCTACATTATTTTGCTGCACATAAACTCGATCCTTTGGCAGAAAAACAAAACAGAAAGTTATGGACAATGTGGAAATTTTGCAGTTTACTGAAGATGGACATGTAATAATTTTCTGCTGGAAAAATCTGCAACCTGACATTAACATGAACCTCCAAGGTTCCATCAAAGAGCCAGCTTGGTCCTGAAACCCTTAAAAACATCTTTATTATAAATGTCTGACCGTTCCTCTGTTACATTTTAAGTGTCTGTAGAGAATTACACTTCTGGGAAAAACCTATACGCACACACACTCTTTATTGCTAATGTCACCAGATTAATTTATTTACATACTAAGCCACACTTTCATTCTTTCTAGTCAGCATTTACCAAATATGCAACTGGGAATTACACTCAGTGTCAAACATGATTTATTGATACAACTTGGCAAAATTAAAATGGTCACAATTAGTATCTACAGATTTGAAATTAACATTTACAAACTGCTAATAGTAGTTGCCATATGGAGCACTGACCCCTGTGTACTGTTGTGATGAAGTGTGATTATTTTGATGCAAATCTGACTTTTCTTTAATGAAGTTGCTCATTTATTATCAAATTAAGAAAATCAAAACTAAATCTTACTAAAGAGTTTTAAACCTGATGTCCATTATATTGTCATTTTGTGTTTGTCTCAATGAGCCAGCAACAAGGTATACCATTGTATCCAAAATTAACAATGTTACTTTGAATGCAGTCAATAAGAACTGCTTCCAATTAGATGTTGATTGATTATTGAACTAGTTCCATTAGTTTTTTAAAATTATTATTTCATTAAGAATTCTGCTGCCATTTCTGCAATATAGTGGTTCTAGTTTAAGTACCGCAACACCTTGTGTGTTTTCAGTGAGTTTGAGCAATCAGTCCACCTTAATGATGCTACTGCTGTCTTAATTTACCAAAGTGCTACATTCACTGGAACCAAAGAGACTGGAAAGGATTTCAGAAGGACATTTCAACATCATCATTAGATCATTATACATAGACAGGAAGCATTGGACAGCATTAGGTTAGTGGGTATGCATCTGACATCAAGGACACCCCCATGACTGTCTACAACACAGCCAGCGGATCTGGAAAATTAAGTAACGCTGGTCATATTTAAAAGAAAAAATGAAGATACGATTATCATTTATTGGTCGCACAAGTCTGAAATTTAAGTTGTCATGGCAGATAGTGGACAGAATAAAACAAACAAGATAAACGAGAAATACAAAATATGAAATGTAATAAAAATATGCATAAATATATTTTATGAAAGAAATATGACCTAATAAATACATATTTTAGGTCATGTGGTAGTAGCTACCTCCTCCTGCCAACAAACCATTATCTGATCCAGGTGTGTTGAAACAGGGAGAGGGTCCTGGCCCACGAGGACTGACTTTTGATACCGCTGTCCTAAGATGTTCTTCACTTTACACAGTTCAACTGTTGTGTTGATTAAAAACAGGAACTACTCAACATGTCCACCCACCATGTACATCAGGATGTCTCTGATCATCACCATTGCAGTCTGGTGGTCGTTCCACGCTTGATTTAACGTCTGGAGGAAGTTATTGTTTAGAGAGTTTAGGACATCTTCTCGTACCTTAGAGAAAGAAAAAAAAAAAAAAAAAAAAAGAAAAAACAAATGTTCACATAGTTTGTACAACAGAACGTTTCTGTTCTCTGTGGCAAAAGAAAAAAAACAACCTTTTCACATGTAATATCTAAGAGTGAAAAAAAGACCTGAAACAGTCTGACAGCTGTGATTTGATGGCAGCACAGTCTGTCATTGACCCCTTTTCTGGCCATTTACTGTCTTTGCAGCCAGGTAGATGGCATGCTGATACTGGTGACACTGCAGCGTGACTCAGCACTGGAAACTCAGGGCCTCAGAAGAGCACACTGACCTTCCCTTTTTCTCCCACTTAGGCCAGAGATGATGAATTATCACCTCTGCTACAATGTCACATCAATTTCACTACATAAATGATACAACTTTTTCTTTGTATGGATTCTAATCAGATCTTAGAGGGAGACAGAGAAATTTGTCATTTTGCAGGTTAAAAAGGCCGAAGCCATCGAGTTTGTCTTACAAGTTATAATTTGTCCAAGGTTTAATTAAACTAATTTATTAAAAACGAATAACTACAAGGATGCAATGCATCTCCATCAGTGATTAATAAGCAATTGACTCTACTGGTGTCTGTGCAGATATTAATGAGCAGTAAATTTGTTTTTCAGTCCCTGAGGTCACATAACTTTCAAAGAGTAAAATATCAGTAGAAAATATGCTTTAAAGAAAAATATAGATTATGTTGAATGCAAGGTGTCAAAATATTGGAGAATTGTCAGAAGCTTGTACTATTGCAAAATATTGCAACATCAGCAATAATAAATCCAGATCTTCCACAGCCGTGTCTATTTTTTATCATTATGATGCTTACAACAGACCAACTTTAAGTTAGTTTAGCATCATAATGTAAGATCTGGGCATCCCCTGCAGTAAGATTGTTTCCAACAGGCAAATAGGTATTCCTGAATCTGATCAATACACTACGATGGAAAGAAATTATGTTTTAACAACCATGCAAAGCTTTAAATATAGTAGTAGACAGCCACAGTCTTCTAAACAGCCTCATGAAATATTGACATTGCACATGTTGCTATTGGAGTAATGATGTGCTGAGCAGTACTAGTGGAGTGGCAAAACAACATCACATATGTCGCTGTTCGCAGTATCTCCCAAGTCGTCACTTACAATTCCTAGATATTATTGGACAAAAAAAAAAAAGTTTTACATTTTCCAGATTTGAAACTTCATTTAAAAATCTTCAGTTGATTCCATAATCTAGTCTGATCAAATAACTCTCGAGCTGAAAAAGTTGAACTTGCATTGCTATTTAACAAGAGCCTTAATTATACTCCAGCTAGCAATATCCCAATTGCAGGAATTTTCAAAATTCTTAGTTTTAAGAGTTCCTGAAATGAACTCAACTCCTGTACATGCTTGATACAGATACTGTCTGTAACTTTATGTCAGATGCACTTCAAGCGAGCCATGCAGGCACATTTTGCAAGGCCAATTTTTTTTAAATTTAAAATTGGAAAAGAGGCTCTCCACATTATTTTATTTATTGTTTTTTTATCATTTACTATGGCAGTAACTGTGAAAGAGACTGTACTGATTGCTGTGAAATCACCTTCCCTGTGTTCACACCCAGCTGTCAGTGTTGAAGTCACAGTAAAGGTGCCAGTCATATAGTTTCAAAGTAAAGTGCTAAGTTTGTAAAGGAGGAAAATAACTTTTCTGTTACTTTTGTCCTCACGATAACAACACAAATACATGTTCAGGTCAAATTATCAAGGGGTCATATGAAAATGGAATGTCCAATTATAAGCAAAAAAACATTTTAGGAAAGGATTATAAAATTATCATGAGCAAGATGCAAATTTACTGAAGCATGTATCTTTCAAAGAATAGATACAGCCATTTGTTTAAGGAGACTTACTGTCAGAACATCATAGTAGTTTTCTTGTACCAATTGACCACAAGTCGGAGCAACATATTAAAGCTGTCCTAACGCTGGTCAGGGGGGCTGCAGAGTCATAGATCATTCATGACTGAGTAAATGGGGCACAATCACATTAATGTAGCTCAAGTAGTCTTGCTGAAATGAAAGGCTGTTTTCTAGTAAATGCATGGAGTTTGTTTTCTAAACTTAAGACATCGTACCTGAAAGCTGCTCTGCAGCTTAAAGAATCTTGTTGATTCTTTAAGATCCCTAACTCAAATCTGTAAAATGTACCGTTAACAAAATTATAATTAGGCCTCTAAATATTCTACAGATTACATGGCTTAAAACACCACTTGACGGCTTCTCTGCATCACCCCACCCCCTCGTAAACCTGTAAACTGTCTAATCAGCCATAGGAAAGAGAAAACTGCTGTGCAGGTCCCGCATTTTAACAAGATTTGTGTAACAAACTGAAAAATTTACTTTTGAAATGTTTAAAAGATGCTACTGAGAACTGCCGCCATCTTTGTTCTGTGAGAATAACATACACCTACAGAAGCAAATTTAGTCCTTAAGATGATGCTGCATGTCTGACGTAAAAACCAGGTTATAAAATCCAAATGTGATGTGCTGCTGAGTTTTAAAGAGTATGACGAAACAGAAGCTAAAAGATGCAGTGACAAAGCTCTAGGGCTCCAAGAACCCCGAAGACAGATTAAGGTCACAAAATTAACATCACACAGACCTCAAAATAAACGTCCAAACTGTCAGTTAAAAGGTGCAGAAGACAAATGTAAAGTAGAAGTGTTTGCATTTTTGTGCCACATGTACAAAAACCTATTCAGAGGCTGATATTGCTATATTACCGTTAAGTAATAATTGGTCTCTAGCCTCTGTCAACCCATTCTCAAGCCAACAGAAATTTCCATCAAATACTGATAAGGCAATATGTAATTTAGCAAATTTACATAAAATAAATGTTGACTGGTCTTGAGACATACAGCAATAAAGACACAGAAAAACACTTGACCAATCAGAAGGAAATAGTGTTGAAAGCTCCATCAAGAAAGTTTGGGTCAACCAAGCAATACCACGGCTGCTTTACAGGTTAAATCTGTAAACAGAAGTCATTACTGAGGGTGTAGAGCAAAAAACAACTGTAAACGTTCCCAAAAATGATACCCATTTTCAAAACACAGCTAGATGCACTTAGAAATGTTTCATTCAATCTGCCATCACTTGACCTTTAGACTCCTTCTGAAGTTGTGTTGGCCTGTTTGTTCAGTGATCTGTGCTCTTACTTTGTTGATGAGATGTTCAGTGACAACTTCCCGCAGGCCTGTGTACAGTTTCTCTCCATGTTTGTGGAGCACCATTGTGTAGGCATTCCTGTAAAGTTCCTCAAAGCTCAGGCCGCTGTTGTTCTTCCTCTGTATTTCCTGGATGGCATTTTTTAGTAGGTCCCAGATATTGTTGACATACTTCTCATCCATCGTCATCTGTAAGAATAAAACAAACCAACAAAAAAACAAAGAAGTTAAAAATTACCTTCTTTTACTGCTGTATCAGTTCTGATTACTTATTTACACATCTCTGTATTAAATAAAATGGATTATATGGCAGGAAGAGGTTTTCAGTTATTGTTCAGTTACTGCTTGTAGATAAGGCCCTAATTTGTATTTGATAATTCTATGGTATGAAATGACTGAACAGGAACCACAAGTAGCACTGGATTGCATTATTGCTTTGACAGAGTACTTAAACATTTTATAGAACAAGGAAGTTTGGGTAATATTGATTGGTAAAGGACCCGAGCGCAACTTAAATGATAAGTTATGCCAAATCTGCACATTTGTATTGCAATGAAACAGTATAGTAACAATTTAGCTAAACTACAAGCTGAGCCCTATAGGTTTTTTTCTATTTTGAACATGCATTGAGTCAAGTCAGGCCACAAAGTTTTGTAAGATATGCTAAGATATGTTTGGCATGCTGTTACAATAGATAAGAGATGGTTGTTGGTCTTCCTTTCCCTTTTTAATGTACAGATACCAGTGTGTGAATCAAGAGCTGTTTTTCATCAATCAATTGCTGCCTTCTATTGGATCACCACAGAGCTCCTTTTTCTCCTCACTACTTTATTTTCTATACACTTCTGCCTTTAATAGTGAGCTGGCAAACACTTGATTAAATTGCAGACCACAGAATCATTTTAAGCCTTCGTAATGGGAAAAGGAATCACAATGGACCTGCTGAGTTTATAACCTGTTGTGATGAATCATTTTTCCAACACCCTGGACGCTAAACACATGCTAACTAACTTTATGAACCATTTCCCTCATTCTGCATTGACAATACTTAACAGTGCTGCTTTAACTCGTGGACACTTACAACTATTTGATTGTTCTTCATGACAATGCTGTCCTTTAATACAATTTTGCAAAAAAATATCTATTACTGGAAAGACATTTTAAGGAAAACAACTGATTTTAGTATCTTGTTTTAGGAATTAAAAAGCTGTATTTAATCTGATTGAAAGGACACTTCTGACATTTCTCCTCCAGTCTGTCAATGTAAAGTATCTGCAGTGAAGACCAAGAAACAGCAGTCTTCTTTGCTACCAGCAGATACTGTTATGGCTGAAAGTGAAAACCTGATCAAACTTGGGCTACTCTCTTTCTCTTTTTGTAATGTATAAGTATTGATATAATATACTGCATTTTTATTGTGTTCTTTTATAAGTAAAAAAGGTAGCGCGTAAATCCATTCACCCTTGGTGATTATAAAATAGCAATAAGTCACACTCAATTGTGGTCAGATGTTGCACCAAAAGCAGTTTTCCAAGAAAACTAACCATTTACACCATGGCTACAGTATGTTTATGTGTAAAAACGGTTTGTTTGCAGGTTCAAAATCGAAGAAGGTTAAGGCAAAGTGACAGTGAGTGGGTTTAATTCAAATCAAATTCTGGTTGGTAACATGGATTACCAACCAAAAGTTCATCCTGCAGGTATTTTGTGGGTGAACTTCAATATAGTGACTGATTAGAGCATACTTCCCCCCCACTCACTCAGTGCCTAAATAAATAACTAATAATAAATAAACAATAATGCAAGAGCAAAATCAATGTGTGCTTCTGACTTAACAGGCTCAAATACATGCATGTCATGAAGCTTGTGAGATCCTGTCTAGACAGGGCACCACTCAGGAGTGTGTAGTTGGTTGTAATGACACAAGCAATGAATGAAAGCAATGTCACAATCACAACACCTTAACTAAATAATAAACTCAAGTCATAAACAACCAGTTCAGCAGCAATATGGACGCAGAAGCTAAATACTACCAAAGCCTGTCGAGATGCTAAAGCAAAATGGGATCAGCTTGAAAATTAGATATTAAGGTGATTTACAGAAAAAGGCAACGTTAGGAGGAAGAGGACAGAATCCCTGAATTACAATTTCAGGTATGAAATAACAGAAAGACATGAAATGCCAAAGAAACTGCATTTAGGTTAGCGGACCTGGTTGTCATTAGCATCCATTGGTAGCTGTAGAAACGCAGCTAATCGTTCTTACATGTGACCGACACATCATTCCTTTAAACATTTAGATGGTAATATTATGGCATGCTTAACCTAAATGCATGAATGTTGTATCTTTGCAAACAACAAGCTTTAAAAACAAGTGTCAAGAAGAGCGGGGGAAATGTTAGCCAGGGCTACGTGGACAGAGAGTATTAGCTAGCTTCCGTCGGGGGGAGTTGCATTTATTTATTCGTTTAGAAAAATAAAACGGACGCTTAACCGCTGAAAATGTGGTGGTGTTACACTAAACTGGACACCAAACTACGCGACAACAACCACAAGCGACTGTATATATGGTGACTGCACTTTGTTTACGGATAGCCAACTCGAATATGCCACTCAGCTGTTAGGCCTACTGTCGCTTAGCCAGCAGTTGAGACTGCGGGGATCGAGTGAGCGCCCGGCGGACAGCAGGAGCACCTGCTGCGGTGTGCACTTACAGGAAAGGCCCGTATCCTCATTTTGGTGTCCTTCTTGGTGCCGCCTTTGCTGAGATTGGACATAATTGCCTCGTCTGTCGACTCTGTATTCACATGAAAGTGATCTCCGGGGAGGGACAGGGGTGGATACTGGTTCAAGGAGCAGCTGACAAGCTTTTCCTCGACCCCGCAGCTCCGCGTCCCGCACCGCAAGTTTTTTGTTGACAGCTGAATGCCAGGCCAGATAACTCTTCATACAGCAATGGCGAAATACCTGCAGTTCCCTCTGCGCACAGATCACGCTCCCCAGCTAACGCGAGAACTTCAGATAAGAGTTTAAATATTTTAGCTTTTCTTGCATTTTTTTAATGTCTTGTCACCAGGTTACTTTATCGAAGAATAATTTATTTATCTGTTTGGACCACATATTCGTAGAACCGCTAAAAAAAGAGACAAGAGACGACTACATTACATATCTTGACAAACAAACTTCAGACCTATGTGAACCTAAATTTAAAACAGTGACGACTTTTTTTCAGTTTTAATTCAGTCTAGCAATCTATATTGTTTTTTTAAAATGAAAAATTGATTATTTTTCCACCAATTATAAGAACAGAACCAAAGCACACAAACCAAGCAGTTGCCTTGTCCAAAGCCGGTCCACCTGGGCCGCAATCCTGCATGTTTTAGTTCTCTCCCTGGTTTAACGCACCTGCATCAAATGATGGCTAGTTAGAAGGCCTAAGAAGAACACTGACCTGCTGAAAAGGTTGCGACAACCACCAGGGAGAGAACGAAAACACACAGGATGCTGACCCTCGAGGACCGAGTTTGGGCACCACTGCTTTGGAACTTCGCGTTAGTTTATATATAGATCGATCTATCTATCTATCTATCTATCTATCTATCTATCTATCTATCTATCTATCTATCTATCTATCTATCTATCTATCTATCTATCTATCTATCTATCTATCTATCTATCTATCTATCTATCTATCTATCTATCTATCTATCTATCTATCTATCTATCTATCTATCTATCTATTTTTTACAAAAGTCATACTGAAGTGTCCTTTGTTTCGTTTGTCAGTTTATTGTTGTGTTCTGTTTTTTTTGTGCATTTATTTCTATCAGGATGTTGTCAGGTCTCCCACCCCTTGGATTGAAGTTACTTTTTGTCTAGTTCTGCTTCCTTTGTGTTAATTATTCACCTTCTCCTTTCTTTCGTCTCCATGTAAACTCACTGGCTTTCATTGTTCTTTGCTTATTCTTCCTGTTACTCTGTCCTCTGCTTTCTGTGTCATCATTAAATCCTTCACCACGATCAATCCAAGTTCATGGCTGCATTTTGGTTTTACTCACAGAAAATGTGTTTTTCCATCTACTTTATGTCAACTTTACTGCTGCAGTAATTTTATACCTTTCTGTGAAAATTTTCTATGGAATATTGATATTTATTAATACACATTTAGAAAGCGTAAAAGGCTTTAAAAAAAAAAACGCCTTTCATCTTCTGTCCAATGTATCAAACCCATCAACAAGTATAATGATGAAGAGAAAATCAGTACTAATTAAGCTTTTCTGGTGCAAAAAAGTGTATGCTACTTCTCAACAGTTTCTCAATAAGGTTTGGATCTGGGAGATTTCTTTGTTATGCATTTTTTTATCATGTTTACCTTGTGCTTCATCATGCTGGAAGAATACTGTTCATTACTGTCAGTCCTGAGTCTTTGGGTAAAGCTGCTCTTGGAAGATGTTTTATTCATGGGACTGATTTTATGCAAAACTGTGAATCCACTTTCTTAGCAGGAGACAAGTTTCTCCACTGTCTTCTCCTTGATTTCACATTTCAGAAACCGTTTGAAGGGGCTTTAATCCAAGAAAATAACTATTTTGGTCTAATCATGCTACTTACTGCAGAATGTTGCTCTGTACTTGATGTTTTTCTTGGAGAGAAGTGGCTCATTTGCTAACCCTTCTTAACATCAGCAGCAGCAGCATCTCCAGCTTACTGTGCTAGCAGAAACACTCAAGCCTGCCTGCCGCCATTCCTAAACTAGTTCTACTCTGGTGGTGGCACACTAATTCCTAAATTGTGTTTATTATGGAATGTAAATAATTTTTCTCAGAGTAACTGAACCTCTCTCTGTAAAGTTTTTGAGTCAATAAACATTTTTTTTTGTGCACAATTTTACCATAATTAGCTCACTTACCTGTGATGCTCTTTCAATTCAAAGAGCAAAGACAATATGTGTGTCCTTGGAAGTAGGCCTAAACCTACTTTTTGGAGATTACAAGAGATTGTTTTCACATCTACCACTTCAATTAAACTTCAGTGTTTACGTTTTTCTGCTATATGAAATACAATGGATAATCACTACTCACAATGACTCAACAAGTCATAACATGGGTACAAAGCAGATAAAAATACAATTTAAAAAGGTTTTGAAAACCCCCAATGAGAGTAAAAATACTTGACACAAACAGACTAAGCAACAAATTAACATTTTTTTCAAGTTTAGTGCTTCAAGTACCTAGCAATACCAGCCATAAAACACGGCTCCTATATTTTCTCCCCTGGATAGTGACTGCCTTCTGAGTTATATGTTACATTGTATATATCAGCCTTCTCCTGACTGATACATTTGATCAATGAGACTCATTTGACTGTCTGACATCTTAAGTAAATGTGCCCAATTCTTTTATAATTTTTAGAATGTTGTGTTTTATCACCCTCCAGCAGAAAAAATGGGAGAGTTCAATTACTTTTTCTATCCTGTGTGTGTTGTACAAAATATAAATTAAGTTAAAGGTAGAAATAGGTCTAAAATTATTTATCTTGGTTTTACTTTTATAGAAATAAACCATGGAATTTTAACAGAGGTGTGGAAATGTTTTCTATTCTCACATGGACATTAATGCAATAGTGCAACATGATCCACAAAGATGCCTTTGCAATGACTAGTATCATCATCATGCAACTTCAGGCACCCAAGCAGACCTTTATGGTAGAGTTATGTTGTGAAGTATTGCTGTACAAACACACATCAACCACCAAAGCACCTTTCACTGGATTTATTTCAAGAAAGAAAGACAAGAAAAAAATAAAACAAACCAAAATGTTATACGTTTTCTTTCTTCTTGAAAAGAACCAGATCAACAGTATTCAGAGCCCACCAAACAAACCTTTAAAGATGACCAAATTCACCTCTCAGCTTAAGCACTATTTATACAAGTAGTGTGAATTTTTATTCGTGGTAAAATATTTTTTTATATCCTAAGTACACATATATCTTTCTCTAAACTTCAGCTTAGATTTTGGGGGTTAGGGTTGCTCAAAAAAGGCTTCGACAAACAAACAAACAAAACAAAAAATCAGGTAGCAAACACTATAAATACATTACAGAATTAAAATACAGTACTTTCCATTGTAATGATGACAATCAAAACATTTGTGTTTTTAAACTTTGTTATTTACAGCAAATATATATATATATATATATATATATATATATATATATATATATATATATATATATATTTATATGTATATATATTTATATGTATATATATGTATTCTTGCCACTTTTAGCAAATACGTCACAGGTGATCATTACAATGTTATCGCATCACAGGTTTAAGTCCCGCTGTTCCTGCTGTGATGAGAGGAAATACAGTAGATTGGCTTTATGCTTCCTGGACAAGCTGACAAGATGAAGCGTGGTCACCAACAGCCTTCTGACATCAAGCTGTTCCTAAAGCCACATCTGGCTTTCATCTTGAAGCTGGGCCAGGAAGTGGAAAGTGTTTGCTTGGCACATTTAGCCCTGACTCTCTAGGACGAACATTAATTGACAAACACATACTCATAGAAAACTGTCAAACGTCTGAACTCTGAAAAGCATTTGTAGTGGGAAAAAAAAGTCCCATTTCATTGACTTTTTTCATGGAAACAATGTCATTTAACATTTAAAAAGCCTTTGGCAACTCAGACCTAAAGCAAAAACATAGGTATTTAGCAAATTCTATTTACATACGCAAGTATCTATGCATTGTCACAGAAACAGAGGCTTCATATTGCACATAAAAAACAAGGACATATGAAGCAAATGATAGGACAAATGAGAAAAATGAAAGACCAAGAAGCGACTTTTTAACACCTTGTTTACAAAGCAGAAGAAAGCAGATTTAACCCCTTCATCCAGCACTATTCAGGTATAACCAAGGAAACCACAATGTTTCCTACAAATGCCCTTTGTGGGATTCTTCATATAGAAAGAAAAATCAAATTTTTCAATCTGATAATTTTGGTGACAGTTACTACACTTTCACTCTTCTGCAAAATAAGAAAACCCCCCAGTAACTAGAATCCCTTACAAAAAGCATCCATACCTGTTGAACCTATTCACATTCAATCATGTAACAAATACGGATCAAATTGGATTTTAATGGGATTTTGTGTGATATAGCAACACAAAGATGTCCAAAACTTTGAAGTGGAAATGAAATGATATTTTTTTCCCCACAATTAATCTAAAAAAAAGTAAAACCCATTTGTGTTTAGCCCTGATATTCCTAAATAAATCCCTGCACAAATGACAACCCCCAGAATTCATCTATTTAGTAAATTGAGTTGTGTCCAATTTAAATTCAACATAAATCCAGATGTTCTGTAAAGGCTCGAGAGGTTTTTAAGGGAATGTTAATTAATAAGCAGCATCATTACAGCAGAAAAAGTCTGTGACCAAACTTAAAAATTGCTTTTCAATCTGACTGAATCTAAGCTATTTTTCAGAGAATATTAGTTCTCATGTTTGTGGAGGAAGTGGACACATAAAAAGACTTTGTGTTGGTCTATCGCATAAAATCCATTAAAATACGTTGTCATATGTGGTTGTAACATGACAGTATGTGAATACTTTTTCAAGGTCTTGTCATCTATCTGTCCATCCACTCATTCAAGAGTTCATACATAGCACACAAACACATGACCCTGCACTTTACAAGCTGTCCTATCCTAACTCTGAAGCATATTGTCATTGTAGTTAATGGGAAAGTAAGTATGGCATGTTGTGACACTAAGCCTTATTTCTCTGAAGTTTTACGTTTTTTTTTTTTTTTTTTATTGATGCACAAATGCGAAAAACACACCCTATTTGATGTTTTCTACCATGGCTACATCTCTTGTTGATTCTTTTTTTTTTCTTACGTTGTTTCTTATGTAACAATGCTTTCATGTACGGTGCACAGACTGCCAGGAATAGAAAAGAAGTGAAAAGATGCAACGTTTGAGGTCTTTAAACAAGTGTTTTACAAAATATACATGTTCTCAGTCAACACAGTGTCCATAGGAATATTCAACAAACATACTAAACAGACTTTTTATTCCACTTTTATATATTAAAAGCTCTAATAAAGGCAGCAAAGATACGCAATAAGGCAGATCCATAGGACATACTCAGTGACACTCTCTACTTAACACACTCTACTGCACAGTTACACCAACAAATGAGGTGGATTGTTTAAAGGGCTTCTCTTTTTTTGTCTTCAAATGAGTAAAGGAAAAAAAATACAAAAATTCAAAAAAGGCAATTCAATAATTTGGATTATGAAGAAAAACAGTGATGTAGAAAATATTTGTCCCACATCTCTTTCCGTTTTTGCATTTTCTTTTTGAAATTAAATGTTTCAGAGGATCAAACAACCTTCAATATCAGACAAAGACAGTCAGAGTAAATACAAAAAGCAGTCTTAAAATTTTAATTTCACTTACTAGGGAAAAATCTATCCGAACTACTGGTGGTGCGTGAAAACCTAATGTAACATGAAGAAGGCTTAAAAAACAACATATTATACTCCAACCAAAAGAATTTCAAGAACAGATGGAAAAATATAATTAAAAGGCATCAATCTAGCAAAGGTTCCATATATATATTTGAGGGTATGGGACTCCTGAAGGCAGCAATAATAGCTGCTATCCCTAAATGGAGAAAAACAAACAAACAAAAACAACAGAGCAGTGATTAAACCTTTCTGGAAGAGACTGGTTTATCATAATTAATGCAGAAGCATGTCGATGGCTCATCCAAGACGTTAAAAAAGGAACCCGGAACAACATTTAAAGCAGTACACCTGCCTCAGTTAAAATCAGTGCTCATGACTGAAATATAAGAAACACAATGGACAAAAATGGCATCTTGTATTTGAGCCTGAGGACCTCAACAAGTTTCTGTCATTGAATTCAACTCCGTAACATAAAATAAGGCTGCAGTCATCAATTTCTGATCTTTATCTTTAGCTCACTTGACACCAGCAAGTTCACCTTTCACTGACTCAAAAAAGAAACAAAGGCAAGGTTTGTTGCCTGTTGTCCTGCACTCAACGTTCTTAATCAGGTAAATCATCGCACAAAACTCTTCAATATGGCTAAATTAAAACAATTAAAAAAATAATAGTGTGACAAAATTTCTCCACAACATTGTAAAAAACTTGTTGCTTGTCGTTGCAACTGATGGCACTGCAATGACAAGCAGTGCCATCAAGTACTTTTTTTTTTACATGGGTCAAAGTTAATTTGGATTGAATTATTGATATAAAGAAGATAAATAATAATTTAATACTTCAGACTAAACACCACTAAAACAGAGGAGAGTTTATATGTTGAAATGAATGAACAAGAACAAAAAGAGGTCATGATTCTCCTAAACATACTCTGACGAGGTGGATACAAAAATCTGCTATGATTATGTAAAAATAGAATGCTTTAATTTCCTATGAATGGGGGAAATGGTCACAGATTGGCTTGTAACTGGTAAGGTGTCCATCCATCATGCATTCATAAGCAGCAGGTAGGATCTGTGGCAACAGAAATGAACACACGCTGTAACAGAAAGTAGAGCACTTCATCTCATTGTTACACGTTGGAGTCTTTGCCACAACTACGAATGCTTCCACCTTGTCTGTGCGAATGTGTCGATTTGTTTTATTTTTACAATCTTTAGAAGGATCAGTACTGTACGAATGAACGTGTGACATGTAGAAAGGTACTCGTCATCTTTTACGCTCCTCGACTAGTTGACACAAGCGACATCAAGCATCGAATCAGTGACTCAGACGAATCGGTTCAGAACATCCGTCTGATTCAGTTTCCATCCTGCAAGGCCCACTAACGCACACCATCATGGTTGACATCAGAGGGACCAGCCTGTCCTTGGCCTCTAGAAAGGTCTTCTTCGCCTCTTATTGAACCACAAGAAAATTTCAGGATTAACACACTGTCGGAGGCCCCGCTGTCTGTCACTGGCCCTGACCTCCCTCTGTGTCATCGAGACAGCCGTTTAGGCAGTGGTCGTCGCTCCCAAAGGCACCCTGCGACTGAAGCAGCTCGTACTCCTGGTCCAGGAAGTCCAGGCTGTTGTTGCTGGGCAACCCACGGATGGTGAACTTATGGGAGACTTTGGTCCACTGCTCGCGATTCGCTGCCACCCGCTCGTACAGCTCAGTGGCCCCGGGGAACAGTTCGGATAGTAGTCTGCAAGGAGAGCGGGAGGAGGAAAATTAGCTCCTTTAGAAATGTTGTCAGTTTTGAGGTAATTTTCTGTGATCTGTGCATAAGAGCACTTAAATTAACATTAACATTTTTACCCCTAATTTGATCTGTTTTCCTTCCTCTGGTCTCCTGTGTGAAATATATGACTTAGCTGCTAAAAGCTTCTGTATTTTTCACAAGCCAGTCAAAAAAATGTGAAGAGCACTGAAAACAGCTTTTGGAAAGGAAATGTGGATTATAAGTAAATAAAAACAAATTAATAAAAAAAATCTGAAACTCAGCAAGTAACTTTAGATATTTTTAAACACTGTCAGCAAAATCTAAAGCTAAACTTTTTCCTGAAATTGGCCATGAGATGATGTAAAGTAGAGCAAAGTGTCGTGAGGGAGTCAGTTTTGTACACACTTGTAGATGGGCATGGCGATATGCTCCATGAAGCTGATCTGTAGTTCTGGGATATACGCTTTCTCTCTGTCCATCATCTCACTTGGTCTGTTCCCCATGGCTTTCTCCTGCACAGACGCAATGAGCACGCAGTACATGGATATGAGTAATGAGCTCAATAATCTGGATAAGGATGCAAAGTTCAGCCACATGCTGCAGCAGAAAGCATTAAGCTGCAGAGACATACCAGATCTCCTTGAGAGAAGAACTCTTTGTAAATCAGCTCCTGTGGACAGACAGAGGTTTACAAATATCACTGCACACAGGGTTTCATGTTTCCAGAATGGTGACAGTGATACAATTCAAACTGGATTTGTGTCAAGGGCTTAAAAATACAAAAATAGAAAACATGTATTTGTATTATAGCTTAAAAGTGGTAAAATGCATGTTGAATACATTCTTGATGATATCTTTTCACACCAGGCTGCTGTCCCACAAGCTTGATTTTTTTTCTCTCATTTTGCTAATACAAACACCTGCTGTTCCCCTTCATTACAAGTGATGACTGTACACACTGTGACTGAAACAAGCCAGATATTGTACTGTAATCTCTGCTAACGAAAAGAGGTGCACGTTCTTTTTTGTTTTGGGATCAAGGATTACGCTGCATCTGATTTAGACGTTAAGTGTTTGGAGATTGAGGTTAGGATTTAGGGCAATGTTTACAGGGGTTTTGGTATTTGTAAAAGGGGGCAGGTCAAGATTAAAAACCTAATCCAAAAAATGGAGTGTGATTACACAGAAGTGTGTCGTGGAGTTTAAAGGTTATTTACATTTGTGTATGTCTCCAAATATTTGGAGACATACACAGTATTTGGTTTGTGAAAAACCTTATAATTGTACTAATAAGAAACAATAAAATGTCTACAGAAGTTCTGTGTAGTGGGATGTATAGTCCTAGAGCAGGCTATGAACTGACTGCAATCTTGCGTGTTGTTTTCCAATCCTTGGTTTGGTCTGACAGATCACAGGAAGTCATCAGCAGGCACAGCAGCAAGGAGTGATGGGTGCGACTCTTTGTATTGTATCCATCTAAAAGAGAAACAGACACAATTCAATGATATCACATTAATTCAGTTTGACATCCTAAACACCATATTTTAGAGCCAAAAAACTTTGAAGCTCTAAGCATCATCCCCTCAATTGTTTTACATGGGAGATAATTCACTTTAGAAATTCACTTTTCTGATTCAGTGGCCTAAAAGCAGAAAGGTACTATGATTTATGAATGATGATTTGTTATTTGAAACAATGTTGCCTTGGAACAAATTTTCTATTGGCTTTATTAGTGCAGAGTAGTTAATCCCTCAGGAGTAAAACACAGACGTGTAGACTCTCAGCTCCTTCTGTTTACTGGTATTTTGTTTGACAGAACCACGTCATGATTTTCTGATATATTCTGGTGGCACACATATTAGTGTGAGAACCAGGACAGAAGTCACTGTATCTACCTGAATCCTTCAAAAATTGCTTTTTTTTAATATATAATTTTGTCACAAATGGTCATTTACCACTGCTCTGTGATTACAAAAATATCACAGAGGACTTTTCCACCCTTGGTTGGAGTGCTGGTTTGTTAGATATTCAAGTTATTGAAGTAAGACAATATTCCCCCTGATCTCCTCCCCATCTGTTGACAATTCTCCACATAAATCTTCACATTATAAACTCACATTTGAGCTTCTTTAGTTACTTTTTGTGTTTGTGTTCTGCACTATTGGTGGAGTTTGGTGTTGGATCCATAAAACCATCGATATTTTGGCAACTTACAAGTTCATTATTTAATAACAAAAAATACACATTTTAATCTCTGATTCTCACGCTGATGAGAATCCATGAGTTTGAGAATCAGACTTCATTTGTTTCTGTCTAAAATTTACAAACTCTGCAGTGCAGAGGAATTTCTCACTGCAGAAATTGCAGGTTCAATACAGCCTTGTGGATTGAGAGGTTTTGTGTATACTTGAATAATTTAGCAGCTTAAGCTGAATTCACTGCAGAGGCATCCACTCAGGATAACTCATAATTGGTTGCATTCAGGCGTAACTAACCTCTGGCCCAGACGTTAAACCCAATTAAGTCACACGAGAGTGTAAGCAATTGTGGACGATTATTAAGAATGCCGAGGCTGAATGCTGCAAGCTTCACCATAAATCTTTAGAATATTAGTTAGTGATTATAAAACCTCAAGCAGAACCTTATTTTTTATCCAACACTGCAGTATCTAGCAAAAGTATCTAAAGCTTGAACTTTTCCACCTCATATTTCATTGCTGTGCTCCTTGGTCTTCATAAAGATGTTCACTAATGTTCTGCCTTTATACTGAGATTAAATTACACACAGACTGACTATTTACTGTCTTTTTCCTAATTAGGTGACTTTTGAAATCATTTGGCTGCACTGGATTTTATTTAGGGGTATTAGGAGTAAAAGGAGCTGAATATAGATTTTTTATAATTTCTTTTTTCCCACTTCACATTTTTGCACTACTATATGTTGGATTATAAAATAATATTCTGATAAAATAAAGTTTTTTCTTCTTATTTTTGATATGACAGCAAAATGTACCCTTTAAATTGTTGCATAGCTACTGTCCAATAAGTGTCCAATATTGCTATTTTTAGAATGCTCTGATCAAAGCTGTCTTGGATCCCAGCAGTGTATGCTTAACTACTGACACATACCATCAGCCATTCTTTGCAAGTCCTTAAAAATTCGAAGGTGATGAGCGAGGTCTGTAGCCAGAATTATGTCTCTCATTAGATCCAGCATCCTCTGGTAATCCTAGAAATATAGAAATGACACCATAAGTTTACAGAAAAAAATCAAAAAAGTTTAGAGAGCCACTGAAATTGATGCAAATGTTGTATTTCACCTTCCTGGAGAATTTCTCAAAGATGTTGCAGCCTTGTGTATTGAGAATAGCAATTGCCTGGGCGAAGTGGTGTCTCTGTCACAGCAAACAGAGTATGAAGAAAGCAGTTGTAATATTGCTGAGTCATGTTTTGCAGGCAAAAGACAAAACAAATTTTGATGGATCTTATTTTCTTCCTTCAAACAATGTCTTGTTTTGTTCTGGCCACTAGATGTCGCAGTGGCACACGATATTAGAAGGTCGAAGGCAAGTTATTCAAAATAAAAAACAAACACCGACAAAAAAAAAAAAAAAAAAAAAAAAAAAAAAAAAAGATTTGCATTTCAGATTGTGATATAAAGAAAGTGAGGATTTAGAAAAGAAATTTCCAAGCTTGAGTCACCTCCATCACAGATCCCTCAGAGCTGTAGAGAGCAGCCAGGACTGATTGCTGAAAGTCAAACAGAGACAAAAATGAGACAGAGTCCCTTCAGCAGCATCTGCTAACAGTGAAAACTATATCCTCAGGCTAACTGCAGCAGTGTTTTCTTTGAAATGGCTGTGCTTGGAAACTAAAAAGCACACAGGGATGCTGATAGATTGTTGATTTAAAGTATGCCCTTTGTTGCAACATGTTTCTGTCTGTGTGTTTGAGTCATTTAGCGCTGCAGGGCTACGTATGATTAAAGTGAACCAGAGCAAAAGGCAGCTCATCGCAGAGACATCTTAGCAACACACCGGGTGTTTTTAATCCCTTCACAGATGAGAGGATAAAAACCACACTCTGGCTGATTATTTTGTATTATTGTACATATTCAATATCACTTCCGTATAAAAAAATAAATAGAGATTTTAGTGGATATTCTCACCGAGGCCACTTGGAAAGAATTGTTAGTGCCGCGATGGTCCAGATCATGGCACATACAGGAAACAAAGAGAGCTAAAATCTCTATATCCCTGCATGAAAACAGGAAAAGTAGTATCATTTTCATTTCAACACAGCAGACATTTAACTATTAAGTATTTAGGAGATGGGTGCTCACTCGAGGTAGTTGGACAACCCTAGGTTTTTGTAGAGCAGGTAGCAGAAGTGTGAGACAGAGAAGGCATGCATCCAGTTGTGGTATGGAGGATCCCTGTAGCCTTTCTTCACCATCAGACAGAACCTGTCGCCAAGGCAGCGGTTTAATTATACTTGCCATCACATCATGTGACACTGGGACATGTGCTCTAAAAAGGGCCACATCATTTCCCCACTTATTTTTTTATTTGCAGCATGTAATTTGGTTTTGAACATCATGACCTGGTTTGATAAGTGCACCTCTTTCCTTGAGCTGAAAGAGCAGAAGGGGAATTAATAAAAATGTGGCTATATTACAGCTCAGCTGCAGTGCTGATTTCGTCGCACCAGAGGCTCTACATCGCAGCTTATGTGAAAACTGAAGTTTGATATAAATCTCAGTGACTTTACTCTCAAGGAATAAAAATATTGTTCCCATAATTTTTAGTTTTCAGTCTGATCTTTAAACATAACTTGTGGGCATTGACTGCATAGAATAACAGGCTACAAAAAAAAAAAAAAAAAAAAAAGGCTAAATTGTTCAAGCCATGTTTCACTAAATGTAACATCTATCTCACCTGTTGACATGAAATACTATTAACTTTTTACCTTTACTGATACACTGAAAGAATATGCTTAATTTTATCCTTTGTGTAATTATAATAAATAAATATGGCAGCTACTTTCAGTAGAAATATAAGGAATCTAAATGCACATTAATTGTAGTGTCAGGTGTGGGCTGTAATTATAAACTGATGCTTTGTATTTGAAACCAGTTGCTGTTCATTTGTATTTTTAGCTTATTGTACGTAATTTCTGAAGAATGTGGAGAGAAATCAAAGAAGGCTTGTTATTGAAGAAAAAAGCCACACTCTCATATGCAGAACTTTGAATGATGTAAGTGTCTAACCTGGCGAGAGTGTGCAGGTCAATCTTGTACGTGTTGATGAAACCCATATCTTCAAACATGCTGAGGACACCCTGTAGACACACACACACACACACACACACACACACACACACACACACACACACACACACACACACACACACACACACACACACACACACACACACACACACACACACACACACACAGAGCAGATTATATTACTCATTCTTCTGATTGTCATTTTTTTCTTCCACCCCACACCCTCTTCCTCTTTTTCTCACATGAGGCGTCGTGTCGTCAGGAAGGGAACGGGGAGTGTAGGTGAACTCTGCAAAACACGGATGAATCTCCTTCACGGGTTCGATTCCAGTCACAAGGAGCTTAGTCACCTCCTCCTCTGACACCTGCAGCGGGTGCAAGAAGAATTTTACAAAATGGGGAACATTATTTGAGGAACAACATGCCCAGTGTCATAGGTAAATGTGAGGTTACCTTCATGTGGTACATCATCATTTCATTGGCAAGCGTGTTCCTGAACTGAGCTTCATGGACTTTCTTGTAGAGCAGAGACTGAAGAACATATGAATCACAAACAAAAATATTACAGAGATAAACCATCTTTGTAAACAAATAATCCTCATTATGGTGTTACTTTGATTAATTTTTACTTTCCTAAGATTAAGATACAACTGAACATAACTGATTAAAGCTCACATATCAGTACTGCAGGGGTGGGCACTCCAGGTCCTTGAGGGCCGGTCTCCTGCAACTTTTAGATGTATCTCTACTTCAGCACACCTGAGTCAAATAATGAGGTCATTAGCAGGTCTCTGGAGAACTTGATTGTATTTAAGAGGTGATTCAGCTATTGGATTCAGATGTGTTGGATCAGGGAGACAACCAAGAGTTGCAGGACACCGGCCCTCGAGGACCAGGAGTGCCCACCCCTGCAGTACGGGATAGCCTGGTAAAGTATAGGCAATGGCTAATATTGTATTTGGGAATCTTGAAATGATTAATAAGTGTCTTTGAAAGCCGTTGTTTTCCAATTGCTTGTTTTTATAGTTTCTCTACAGTTACTGAAAGGTCACTTTCTACAAGTGCTGATTAATAACAGTGAATCGGAAATGTTGAATAAAATATTTCTGAGATGTAATTTGATTGTAGTAAGGATCTATTTTTTTCTCTTCCTTCTAGCTCCACTCTGCTTTCTCATTTCTTTTTTTTTTTCTGTAGTAGTCTTCTCTTATTTTTATCCTAATGATACATTTCTTTCTCTCCTTTCTGTTTTGTTCTTTGTGTTTGATCCAGTATTTTCTTTCTTTCTTTCTTTCTTTCTTTCTTTCTTTCTTTCTTTCTTTCTTTCTTTCTTTCTTTCTTTCTTTCTTTCTTTCTTCCTTCCTTCCTGTTTCCCTTTATTTTTATTATCATTTTTTAAATTCACTTTATTTTCCTTTGCTTTTGTTAATGTTGGGCATCCTAACATAAAGAACTGACTACAGGAGACTGGTGTAGGGACTGTTTATTCCACAATGCAGTGAATTAACATACTTTCGGTTTCAACAGGAAGAGGAGTTTTACCATGTGAAAATCTAATATCTGGTCACAAAACTGAGCAGATGGAGGAAGCTCAACCACTTGAGAAACATGTGGCACATTTGTTTCTTAAAGGAGAAACAAGTGCACAGCTTCTCACGTTGGCAGAGAGAAAGCTTGTTTTTATACTAGATTCAAAAATATATAGGTGACTGTATTTGCCCAACTGTATGAATACATTTTGATTCTAGTTTTATTCAGAATTCTGCAGAAGAAAATGTGTAATTACAGGTTCTTCAATATTATTGCTGATAGCCGAAGCTGGATGCGAGTCCATGAGACGCAGCTTCACCGAGTCTGGCCATCTGCCAGCCAAACAGTACTGATGCAATGCTGACCAGAGCTAAATCTGCCCATCTTCAAGCTAACATGTGCTAGTTGACAACACCCTGCAAGTTGTTGGTAAAACTAATTAAGCAACAATTCTTTAAAAGGGTTGCTGATTTCTAATTGAGTCAAAAGGTAAATCGCTTCCTTATGTCTTTTTAGTTCTACCCTTCTTTCTTTCCTTTTTTCTCTTGCTATCTTTCCTTTCTATCTTTAATTTCTTCTTTCTGTCCATCATTCTTTTATATTTAAAGGGAAAGTAAAATGCATCTTTCTCCTGATTATAAATTAGAGTCTCCAAACACGATTTATCCCATGTTAACATAAAAGTGTTTTGGGTATTAGTGGAGCCACACAACACATCATTAATGATATAAACATCATTGTTGGGAGGCTCAACCTTCTCTCCAGCAGAGTGTTTGTTGATAGCTTTGAAGCTGTCGTACAAACAGTTTTTAAGTGTGCAGCAGAGCTCTGTCAGTACCACTAGACAGGATCTCCTTGAATTTTCTGCAAGACGTTCCTTCCCTCCGCTCTGAATGAACGCTTTGCTTCTGCTGAACTGATCTCATTTTCACAGGCAAGCTCAGTCTTTCAGACCACATTAGCAACAGCTCCAGTGCAAGCGGAGCGCGACTCCTAATAATGGATAACCAGTACATTTCTACTTCTTAACCTACTGTAAGTTCAGAAAAACAACATATTTCATTTCTCAGAATGAATTAGTCATGGGGCTGTTGCTCATTGTTCGTCCTGCTGAATACATTTTTGCTATGTTACCACTTCTTTCTGAAAGAATTGATTTACTTTGTATATTAAAAAAAAATTCTCGAAGAGATTCATTTTAGTCTATCCACCGCAAAGACATTCGCAAGACTAAAAAAAGATTTCAAGGTGACTGTGAGTGGGAGAAAAGTCTTACGTGGGCAATGCTGATTCCACAGTAGATGGAGAAAGCTGTGGCCAGATCTTCATCAAAGCGGTTGAACCATGGCCCGTTCATTTTATTCACCAACTCCGCTACACCAATCACCTCTGAGAGACGGAGAATTTCAGAAAGAGGAGGAAAGAAAAAGGAGAGAAGGTGGGAGGAAAAGATTAGGTAAGAAAGAACGTAGATGATGAACAAAAATGGGAAGATATGAAGACAAGAATGAATAAAAATAATGGAGCAAAGAAAGCAACAGTTAGAAGAGCAGAACAAAAGTGGAGTTGAGCAGCTCTGCTAACTCAGATTAATTTCACACTGTGGTTGATCCTAATTGCAAAGAAAAAGATCCAAATTTAAACCATCCAGCTGAGCTCAAGACACTTTTCCATATAGAGACAAGCGGCACTGAATGCAAAGTTGCTCTGCCCAGAAACAGTTTAGGCAGCACCATCAACATGAAGCGAAGATTTCTGAAATAACTCAGTGAAGAGGGTTTGAAGTGCACTTTAAGCACTCTAACATTTAGGCACAAGGATGTGATGTAACTGCTCTTTGTGCTGTTCTGAACAATCACCTGGGTGAAAATGTAGTTTCACTTTTTCAGACAAAAGAGGAATAGAGGGTAGTTAACAGTGCAGGAAAAACACAAAATTTGCTTTTTGGAATACTAATCAATACCTTTAAACGATTGAATGCTAAAAAGACATCATAAAGTAGTAAATATGGCTCTGCTTCTCTACAAAGTACTGAATAAGAAGAATGAGTTTTGTTCTTATCTCTCCGGAGTGCCTAAATGTGTAATATACATATAAATTAACACATAAATGTCTCCATTAAGGCCTCTTCTAATTACAGTGCATAAAAAGCCACCTAAAACAATATTGCACACATTTCCTCCCCTTATTTATCATTTTTCTGCAAACAAAATGCATGACTTTCTTTGTAGCTAAAATACCTATTAAGTTATTAGTTCCAGTATTTTTATTTTCTTTTAATAATTCCTTTATTTTAAGGCAGCTTCACTTCTTTTCCAGCACTATTAATATATTACTGCTGCAGTGTTACTGAATAATGTCCTTTTTACCTTCAGTAATGTATGGAAATGTGTTATTTCACTCTTACCGTTGTTTTCGTCTTTGATGGGGAAGCAGAGAATGTTGCGAGTCCTGAAGCCGGTGCTATCGTCCACGCCGCGGTAGAAGAGAGGATGGGAGTAGGCATCCTTAATGTTTAAAATCTGACCGGTGGTTGCAACATGGCCTGCGATGCCTTGATCGGCTGGGATACGAAACTCATTCTGCATTCAGATACAAACAGAGTTGTTTTCCTTACAAAAGAAATTTACCTAATATAAATAGCAGATCCAATCTGTGACAGCTAGCAGGCAGTTGACAAGCAGTTCAGTCTCCCAACTAGTGGGCTAAGTTTGTCACATGCCAACTTTCTAAAAAATGCAAAAAATGCCCCAGTTTCTCCCTTTCTTTTTAGTTGATGCTACAAACACTGCTGAATTCTTGTGAGACAACGAGGCCAAAAGGAAGATGCTAGATAAGTCACAAAAGGGGAAAAAAAACACATTTAAAAAAGTTGAGTACACACAATGAGACAAGAGACAAATTATAGGTACATTCGATATCAAAGGGATGTTGTAAGGTGCTGGGCAACCATGTGCCCACACAACAACTTCACTGCACATTAGCATTCACTATAACAGTCCCTGGAGCCTTACTGGAGGGTAAGATCATCATTCTTCCCAAAGCGACTGCCTAATTTAATGTTAAACTGGGTTAAAACATGGTGTAATATATTATTCACATTAATTTTATACCCATTAAACTATTCAGTGACCTCTCATGGTCTGTAGCTGCATGCATCATCCTGTCACTCCTGGAAATGCTTTACTACTGTATAAAGTTTGTATTAATTTAATGTGATGTATTAAATGACATATTGCACCTAATATGACATATTGCTGAGTAGAATACCTTAATGTTTCGCAGGTTGTAGAGTTAGGCTCTAGCAGGAAAATCACCCCAACTTACCAGTTTCATAGCATGTAGGAGAACTGTTTTGAGCTTGCACCAAAGATTTGTGGTACTTTGTTATCATGATGGCAGTCAAACTTTTTTTTTTCTGGGTTGTATTTTTGGAAGCCTGAAAGCAGCAGATGTGTTTACCACATCCATGACATGTGGTCTGTGTGTACCTAGTCAGACTGGCCATTTGATTATTTGAACAAAGAGTGGGTGCGCAGACCTAACTCCAAAGTACTCCACCGGTGAGCCAAATAACACCAACATATGACTGTTAGTGCCCAATGTAGCCTAATTTATTCCAACACTTTTGGTTAGCTGCGATGCAGGTGACACTGGGTGCAGAAATAATAATCTGCACACTTGCACAAACTTCGGCCCCTTGCACATCAAGATTCATAGGTGCTGCCCTTTCTACAGAGTAGGAGTCCCAGCTGGAAAGAAGTGCACACCTGTGCAAGTTGCACATAAAGATTGGATAGAGCTTCATTCAAAAAATGAGCTTAGATTTTGTGTGCACGATGCTGCAGACAAACATAGGTGCACAGATGCTAAAATATTTGTTCCGCAGTGCACTGCATTCTGTACTTAACAAAATTCTTCTCATCAGAAGGGCTGAAACTGATGGTGGAGGTGCAGAAACCTCCTATAATTTATTAGGAAAATCTATTTATTGTAAGGAAAGATCCGAGTACAGATGGGATACCTGGGCTGGTAGTATTTGGTTTGGAAAGCAGAACAAAACATCTTACTGTTAAATACTAAGAGTTCAATAGCTCCATGGCTTTGTGCTGGAAAAAAGGTTTTCAACATTTGGCTGAAAAGTCTTGGAGGTCGAGGAGAACAGTAGGCCATTTCCAATTGAGTGAGAAGAAGGCTTTTGGGTAACTTAGCAGTACTTTATTTAACTCGACTTCTATGACTGAACTGGAGCTCTGCAACAATTTTTTCAGTCTTTCTTTTTCAGATCATCTCTTAGGCACGATTGCCTGTTGCAAAGCAAGACTTCAGCCAAACTCAGAAGTTGTAACAATTGCTCCTACTTTTAGCTCCAATAGACTTGTGTAGGCTGAGGCCAGAGTTGACTGTAGCTGCTAGTTCCACAGGTCTGTTAGCTCCAAAGAAAACTTAATTGAACACATGTCGTATTTGGTTCCCATTAGACAACTTGCATTGTAGATAAATATGTCCACTTTGCTCTTATGCCTTCAAATGAACCTTTTTGAGACTTTAGCATAAGGCCTGGAACAATTTTTTATCTACACAGAAGAGGCTTTCTGTCTGCAACTAAGCAAGTCTTCCTGGTTCAGCCTTTTTCTAACTGAACTGTCATGAACTTTGATCTCTAATATAAGAGCAAAGGACTGTGGGGTAGTCCTTTGCTTTTGAAATTTCTCTGAGCATTGTACTGTCTGACCTCTGGGTAAACTTGATGATCCTACAAAGATTGGTTACTGTCTTTTCCACTAGTCTGCAGTCTTTGTTGCTGCAGAATGGTCAAGGCCAGATATTTGGACTTTGCCCTCTAATATTTCTGAGTCTGAAGAATTGGTTCTCTGAGACCTGAAGAGTCGATGTTTTGTATCGCACACCTCTAAAGCGTCAAAACATTCTTCTTTTTAGAGGTGTTTATCCTGCATGATTAACAGAGCATTTGATTGCCATTAATGAACTTCTTTTTATACATAGTAGTGACAGTGGATAATTTCTGCTCTTCTGAGGTTATATTTATTTGATCTGAAGATAGATCATTTTGCAGTTTAATATGTATACCTAGTTTTTACACTGAACATATTATTCTTGAGCGCTTTACCTCTTCTTCACTAACAACACCTCCATCAAACACCTTCGCCACGAGCTCATGGCTAACTCGATCCAGCAGGAACACTGAACAGCTAGGAAAGTGGAGAGAGGCAAAATTAGAAAGGAGACATAAAACAGAGCAAAGCTGAAAACTTTACAGAGGTTTTTCTCATTCTACTTCAAGTCAATTTGCAACTTTAATCCAATCAGGCAAGTTGGTTGAGAACAAATAGCAGAAATAGCCTTTTGCAAATTGAGATAAAGAGATTTTCAATCTACAAAGGCATGCTCTCTCTTTCCAACATACATTAAAACGTCCTTGTTAGGATAAATCAGAGGGCTTACATCTCTGCATCGCTCAGGTTCCTGGCCTCCACAATTATTTCCTGCAGCAGCACTGACACATCATCTGAAGGAATCAGGGTAAGAGGAAGAGAGAGAGAAAGGGAGGAATCCAACAGAAAACAGAGAAAATTATAGCAGTACAATAGAGCCCAGGCAGACAGAAACAGAGATTACAACATGAGTACCTGAGGATCAACAGCACAAGCTGATAAGAGCTTTTGTAATCATGGGTTCAGTCCAGTGAGTGGCAATTTGCTCTAACACTGGATCAATTTTTGTTCTCGCAATCATGATAAATCAACAATGACATGTTCTGCTGTTGCTGCTGGCTGTTTCATAAGAATGGGAGTGTGAGGATGGCAGAGCCATCATTTTTAATGCCCTTTTAAGTTTATTATTATGATTCTGGACATTATCACCTTTACGGTCAGTAATATCTCATTCAATTATCTGCACCATTTGGTTTAAAAGGTGAGCATTTAAATATCTGCCAGTAAAGCAGATCTTCCAACAGTGTCTGTTCACTGGACAATCAGACAGAGACGGGGAAAGAGACATACCCAAGTGTGTGAAGAGATTCTTGGCTACTTGCAGAAGTGCCTAAAAAGGGAAACGTTGGACAATGACAAGCTCATCAAAAAACAGCTTCGGAGTGAAAAGCACATTCTTTCATCATTATATGAATGCAATACTAATTATGAACAACTTGACCAATAATAGAAAATGCAATCTGAATGATTTTAAAAATGAGAATTGGGTGCACAAGTTTGAGACAAGTCAAAGGTCGAAACATTTGGCCACACCGAAAGACGAATGTTTGGTCAAGATGAAGCTTTCAAACCAAATCAACTGGCAAACATGGAGGCTTTGGGGGTTTGCTTTATTACCAGTGGTACTGGTGCACAGAGCAAAGTAATAGGGATAGTGAAGAAGGACTACTTTGAATTTTCCCCCTTTTAGCACAAATCAAACAGATGGAAGTAGCAGCTGGGGTGCAGGTGTGTGTTCTAGCAGGACGATGATGTCAAACACCAAACACCAAATCCGGCTTTGGAATCGAAAAGCCAGAGTAAAACTAAGCTTCTAAAATTAACTTCATTATTTCTAATACGATGAGTGTTCAAATATCCATTAAGAATTATTATTAGTGGGGGCAAATGGATATATAAACATATTTAGGTTGGTTTGGAGAAAACCAACAGTACGTTTGAACACACATATCTTCTTTGTGAAAATCATTATATGTACTTGTTGTATAATAACACACGCTTTAAAGACCGGGTAGTTCAAATCAATCATTAAAAGACCAAATTATTATGACTTTCATATTAACAATAAGGGCAAATAAACTTGTGAACTGCATATGTGTGTTTGAGTGTGTGTAGAGTGAGAGGGGAAATGTGCGATACCTGGCATTCCACTTTTAGTTTCTGTTCTTTCTGAAAGGCCAGAGTGGAAGTGAGGACCGTTGAGGTGTAGCAGAAACAGTGCTGGATGACGTGTTCGTCTGCCTCTGCATGTCTGCAGAACACAAACAAAGTCAAACAGTGAGATTTATACGACACTTAATCTCCCCTTTATGTATTATTCATATTGCAGTAAAAAGTCTCCAAGTGTGTTTTCTCTAGCTCTAGAACATTTCAAAGAAACATAATTTTTACTATAGTTTTAAATGCTAAATGTTATATTTACCCACAGGGAGCGATAATAATTTGTTCTAATCAATAAATTCTAATCCACTGCACTAATTCTTGCTTTGTCTCTGCTTCGTCGTGTTTCGGGTCGCGGCACCTCATTTCGGAGAAATGCAAATTGCTTCTGAACCTCTTCTGTGTTTTATTAACATCTCATAGAAGAAACAAAATATCCTAGGTGACAAATCAAGATTTGTTGTGAAATAAAAAGGCCCAAATTGCACATATAGTACTTACAGCTGATAAAAATGTTCCCCTCCTGGATAATTTTGCTGAACAACTCTAAAAATGATTTTCTGCTTCTGCTTGGTGACATTTTGTTCCAATCAGTCAGAAACTAATTAAGACAGTGATGCAGAAATGGACAACATAAAAGAACGAAGTCATAACAGAATGTTTTAAGTGTGAAAAAAAAAACAATGAAACCAGTTTTCCTGCAGGTTGGGAATCTTTCTAAACACCAAAACAATGACCTTAATGGTTTGTATAATTGGCTGCAGTTATCTGTCACTTCCTATAGAGAGCAGTGGCACGTTGTTATGGGCTCGAGGGTCTTTCCTGGTCCTAGATCAGAAACACAAAGATCCTGTCAATGGAGACAGGAGCCTGCATCTGGGAAATCTCTGCGACTGACACCCAGGAGTTATACAGAGCTACGAAGAGACTGAAGGATCATTTTCTGTGGTAACAGCTAGTTATTTGCAGTCATGACATCATCTGGACGCCATCCCCACAGGTTCAAAAGTAGCCAGTGGGAGTCTGTTTCTAAAAGCCGTAAAATACGTGTATACTGCAGAAGAAGCACACAATACACAATAAATAGAAGATTTTGGTTATGAAATAGTGCTTTGTAACTCTGCAGTAGACCTGGCTGCTGTGTTGGAGAGAAATATATTTTGAAATTCTTCCATATCTTGGAAACAAGCCTAACAAGCAGCAGCTTTGGGATCCCAAACACAAATATCATCTAATATATGAAAAACAAAAGGTTCTCTGCGTTGGCCCTCTTCCTTGCATTAAGGTTGATCTAACAAAATCATTTTTGGTATTTTGAGCAAGGCCATTTTTCTGTTTCCTCTGTTTGTGGAGTTTTCTGGTTGTAAAACATGAGTCATGAACCTATTACTGCTGCCATGCTGTGCTGCTGGGGACATATGAAGCCATATTTTACTTTGCACACAAACAAACTCTGCATATGTAATCTTTAAAATGATGGCAAAGTTCATCTGTTTCACTGCGTTGGGAGCAAAGACCAGACTGACTGTATTATTTGCTCTGTGGAAACCCTGATCCTGCAGCTCTCACCATGATAATGAGATGCCAGCCACTACTGAGTGAAATGATCAGACATGATCCCTTCTCATCCATCTCATGAGAGTGCATGCGTATGTGAAAAAATAAAAACAATATATCAATAAACTCCTCTGCATACTTTAACAAACACAACCATGGTGATAAAAAAAAAAAACCCAGAGAGCTTTTTTTCTGACTTCTGTATTCAGGAGATAACGGCATTGCTCCTGGCAGTGCACAGAGACAAACACACACAGAAGATACACGCCAAAACCTGCTGCTGCCAAATCAGGCAGCCAAACCACCCGCTGCTGTTAGACTCATGACCTGACTCCAGATCATCACACCACCATCATCCTCATCATCATCACACCCATCTGCTCACACACACAAAGGGAGGATGAGTGGACATGAGTTTTAAAGTGCAGCGGTATGCAGTCGAGGGTGCACTTTAAGTCTGGACGTTGTGTCAGAGGCCTGACAGTCAGAGAAAAACTTCACAGCCTTCAAAGATGGACCGAACCAACAGTCTAAACACTTGTCACCGATTTCTTTTAAATAAAATATGAGGCACAGCTCTGCTTAGTTTGGGAAGCGTGCAAAAAAAAAAAAAAAAAAAAAAAAATATATATATATATATATATATATATATATATATATATATATATATATATATATATAAAATAGCTATATTGATGGAACTCAATCAGCAGCCTTCTGAGGTTTTATTCTGTGATTTGAATGAAAGTATAGTTTCTCTCAGCAGTTTTTGAGGGCTATCTAGTTTTAGAGTTTTAGAGAGTGACTTTCTGAAAATCTGGTACAAAGACACAATACCAGCCAAGGTCTTCAGAAAGTGGCCCTTAATTCAGAGCCTTCATGGCTCAAGAAGAAGAACTATTTCTCATGAAATTTATCGGCTGTGCACTCCACAAATCTGGCCTTTATGAAAGCGTGGGAGTCCAGCCATCTTGGGCTGGAGTTCTGTTACATTTAGACGTGTTCCTGGTTCTAAACACCCAAATCAATTGATTAAGTCTTTAACAGGACTCTGTAGAACATAACTGCATCGAACACAACTGTCATTTGATTCAGGAATGTTGGAAAAGGGAAACAGCAAAATGTTGACCCAAATGCCAAATATTGTGTGGTGAAGATTATAACTGTACGTTTCTCTGAGTGGTGATGACAAAAAGTTTTATGTGTATTAATACATCAGCTTGAACACCCAATCCAAATGATAACGCATGAATATAGTTATATTATGATGTGGTATTGCTTTTCTTGATTGGGAACCAAGTAGATGGGAGGAAATCTAATCAAAGACAACCAAACAGTTAAAACTGAGTAAAGGGTTTGTCTTCTGTCAGGACAACCGTAAGCAGAGCTGCAGCTGAATGCATATGGAAGTGTTATATTGGCTTAGTCAAAGTCCCAACCTAAATCCAAATGAGAAGGTAAAAAAAGCAATAAGAAACTTAGCTTTGGTGCTACTGACAGATAGCTTAAAAAAGAAATAGAGTATTAAAAACAGATATAAAGGTGCTGTCCATTCTGACTGAAATTGAGCAATTTTGTGAAGAAGAAAGGGGAAAAATTACATTTTATATTTCATTTTTATGCAAGATTTCCTCTTGCTTTACAGTGGTAAACTGCTTTGAGTTGGTTTATCACATTAAAATGCTAATAAAATGTAATGGAATGTTGTGATTTTAATTTGACAAAATGTGAACGGTAAATAGAAGGGAGATTTAAAGCACCTGGGAGCTGGTGAGTGACAAATACAAATGAATACATCTTTTAACAAAAGAAGCTCATTAGTAAACTATTACTGAATAATTGGAAATCTGCATTCGACAAGCATCAGACTCACAGCAAGTTGAAAACATCTCATGTCTGATATAGTGTAACGAATCAAATCATGAACTGTCTATTTCAGCGAATTGCATTGTGATGCAATACTCATGAAGACATAATAAACACGTTCTACTCCAATTAACTAAATAAACATTTCCATAATTTCCATATAATATAAGCAGTCAGGAGATCATTAAATTGAGATATTTCTGTATATTTTGAGCTTGTGAAGAAAGCTGGTGCTTCAGTGCACACATCTTTATCTTTGCTGCAGTCTAAAACTTGCCAATTAGTGTAATTTGTAGCTTTAAAAGGAATGCTGTGTTAATCTAATAGGAGGCATGAAAGGTTATATCTGTTTTTAGAGCTGTCATTTCCTAAACTTCCAGTGGAAAATAGCAACAACATGGCTCTGGGCCTCCCCTTGAGCATTTCAGACATCAAATACATATTATTCACTAATGTTGACATTCTTACAAAGGACTAATTATTTTTTGCATATAGTGAATTATTAAAGTCATTAATTTGAATTAATTATTGGTCTTTCTTCATCCTTCGTACATTTAGATTCCAGGGAGCTGCAAACAACATTCACATAGCAATGACTGAGCAACAAAAAAAGCAATAAGAAACTTAGCTTTGGTGCTACTGACAGATAGCTTAAAAAAGAAATTTGTGTTGGTCCTAATTTTATGCCATCCTGGGTGATGAGCCCTGCTCTGGTATTTTGTTTTCCTTCTCAATGCGTTCTTCCTCTCCCATAGCTCCTCCACTTCATTTAATTGTGACTATCCTGCTGCCAGTAAGATGTCGAATCCTCTGCAAACTCAACAAATCTAGGCAAATTAGCTACGTAATCTAATCAGACCTCATTTCAAAATTACTGTTGCATAAACTGTTGCTTCTCCTAAGAGTCAGCAGTCACAAATAGCAGACTGTGAACCAGCAGTCTTAAAGCACTTTGGCATAAAGTCATGCAAGGTTGGGATACAATATTCTCCAATTATTGAGCTTTAAAAGGACACACGGCTAACATGAAAAATGAGAAGTCTCTCACCTCTGTCCACCCTGCTTGTTAAAAGCGCAGGCTAGCGCCACCACATGACCGGTGGCCCTGCTGACAACAGGGACACAAAGCATGGAGGAGATCTCACAGCCCAGCATGCTGGACAGCTGCCTGCGTTCTTCCTGAGAGGATGAGAAGCACACAGACAACATCAGACAGGCAGAAAGGAGGCTAGTTTGATGGATCAATAGATAAGACGGGTTGAATCTTACAGCACTGATGTCCTGGAGGGAAATAGACTTTTTTTTCTCCACGACTTGACCAAAGCGTCCAAACATCAGCTGGACAGTTGAGAGAGAAAGACAGGGGTAAAGCGACCAAAGGAAAAGGGAGCGGGAAAAAACACCAAAACCATGACAAAAAATATTAGAAAAAAATGTCCCCAGAGGTTCTTTTTGGGGAAAAACAAATAATAAATGAAAAACAAATAATAAATAATACATTTTATTGTAAGAGAAAAATAAGTAAGACTTTTTTTTCCTCATAGCTTTTTACCCCGGCTATCATCAAGGTTTCACACTTCGTTTGGCCTGGGGGACACCATGTATTCACCATGTAATGAAGAGCCTGTTAGTAATGCTACAGCTGCAGTGTAAGCATGGACAGGAGACCTGGAGCGACTCGAAGGAAGCGATTACTTCTCCTGCGCAAATTTCTTAATTACAAACCTCTACAGAGGATTAGGAGCCTTTGCATGCGGAAGCTTTATTCTTTTGTGTCTGTCAAAAACACACGCAGGATTACAGCACTTGTATTCTAAGCTTATTATTATTATTAGCAACAAACATCCCTGAAAACCTCAGCTCAGTAAAGCAGGAGATGACAGGATCCAACAAATAAAAGAAGGGGATGATTGATTGGGAAATATTTGAAATATGGATGATCAAACAAATAGGCAACTAATTAATAAGCAAATGGTATCAGAGGGAACATTAAGGATCTACAAATACAAGAAAATAATTGTCTCACCGGGAAGCTGATCTCCTCCTCCAGAACTTTGTCTCCAACCACCTAAATGTAACAAAGGTCAAAAGTTACAAACAATTTAAATGTTAGGATTAAATTTAGTTCCAAATCACAGCAGAAATTGTAGATGGCTATAATCTATGTATGTCTCAGTGTGTGAAGAAAAAAGATTGAACATTTGAATGTTGTTTCCATGAGGCATTTTAAAAACATATAATGAAAACCAGTGTGATTGAGAGCGAATGGCCTAATCATGTTGCCAAATTAGTCACAAAATTACAAAGTTGATGTTTTGAAGTGTCCATCACAAAGTCCTGATCAAAGTCCCATAGAAAATTTATAGGAAAAGCTAAAAAGGTGTAAGTGATTATGACCTTGTGAAACAACACCGGAAACATTTGATTGAAGTCATAAAGTTAAAATAAAAACTTTACCAAAGAACATAGAAATTTTTCAAACCTCTGCATTTAAGGAGTGTTAAAAATGTGATAATAGATTGATAATAATAAAATGACCTAATATAGGGAAAGCTTTGTGTGACTTAAAGTCAGCCATTTAGAATAAAAAAAATTGGTTGTGTGTCTTTCATTCTGTGTAAATAAAGATTTGGCTTCAATAGTTCAAGTGTGGTCACCTGGCAGAATAGCTGGTGGTTGTCCTCAGACACCAGCAACAAACAGCAACACTGAGACTTGGTCTGCTGCTGCAGCTGCACAGGAAAAGAAACACAATATCAGCCCAAAGGGCGTACACAATCACAAACAACAACAAAACCAGATTAGGCCAGACGAGTCCAGCTGTCTTGGTTAGAATTCATAGAGCAATATTACCTGGAGCTCCACTTTGGCAATATTTTAATGTGATCTTTAATGCTTTGCTGCACCAATGAAGTAATTTGATGTTTTTCAGATAAGAAAATGTAATAAATCCCTATTCCCTATGCAAATGTTTTTCTCCTTTACTTATGTTCATTTTGCTTCCAAGCAGTCAGGCTTTCTCCAAATCTTTTAAATACATTTTGATCAATATTTTTTCAATCATTTTGAAGGTCTCTCAAAACTATGCTGTTTTTTTTTTTTTTTTTACTTACTGTCGGTCCAGTATCAGACCATATTTACAGGATTTTTTTATTTTTATTTTGGTCAGATTTGGGACAAAACATTCATTTACTGTATGCAAAGTCTTGCCTTAACTCATGGTCTTTGACTAGGACTAGACTAGAGTAGAAGGGATTATCTAATCTAAACATAAAATAATAGAAATAAGAAAATATGATATAATTTCCGCTAAATAAATACTTTTATTTTAGGACACAAAACTCAGATAAAAATAAAAGAAAGGGCATATGAATCCCTCATGGAAATGATATGGTATGCATGCCTCCAGTCTTTCTGAGGCTTTTATTCTACCTGCCGAAATTCAACCAATTTCCTCCTGCTACGTGGGAAGAGAAATGCTCTATTCGCATTCATAGACTGAAATACACTGTCACACACACGCACGCATGTACCTACGCACACACACCCACCATTCTTCCCTGTAATCCACATATCTGGATGGAGAACAAGGCAGGAATAAGCAGTCTCTACTGCCAACAAGCTCACCCCCAAGTCACACACATCACCCTATGGGAAGAACACATGCATGTGCACATTCAGCAGGAACATGCACATCAATAGACAACATGTTGCTGCGCCCACACACAGTAATAAACCCCTCCACCTCAACTTTATTTATTTATTTTTCACAAACGCTGTTAATCCCATAAGAACTACTCGGAGCTTTCAGCACAAAACTGATGATTCTTCAGGAACAACAATCTCCTGCTTCCCTTTTCTCCTTCCTCATTTCTACAGCAGTAAACAGGCCAAGTGAATCACTACTTTAATGAAATACATTTTAACAGCAGCGCACATTCTGTTAAAATGCGCAGTCTATTGCTTTATACAAAGGAAAAAGCTGAATTACGAGTTTAGAGGTGTTGGGGGGAGATGTAGTGCATGCAGGCTGATCTGACGCTGCCCAGTAGTTCAATACCACTCAGCTGGTCTCAAAGAAGCACAGGTGCAGGACGGTGTGTTTGACTTCAGCAGTTAAGTGGATAAATCACCTCTTATGTTACTTAAATTGCTTAAAACACAATGCATATTAATTTTCTCAACTGACAGTTTGTGTTAAGCAGCAAACTTCAGTTCAGTCTGTATGAGTGCAAGAAGGAGCCACAATGACTATAGTATGGAAACAATTATCATTGCAGCCCAAATAAACCAGTAAGGCAACAAAACTATAGCAGTAGAAACAAGTTGTATAGTCATTTAGAAACACTTGTAATGGTTTCGCTTTTGCCATCAATAACACAGCCATGATTTTTTATTTTGATATTTCCTATTTAATACATGTGCAAAACAATACCTGGTCTTACCTGTGTTCAACAGCACATTATCATATTACAGTCCTGCTGTTTTGGGAAGAGGCAGAAGGATTTTGTTTTTGCTACTTTAAAGGCTAACCTGCTGTAATTCATATTTATTAGGATGCAAAAATATCAGTGATCCACCTGATCCAAAAACGCAGCAGCAGGTCTGACAGAAACAAATCTAATCCCATTTTTCTCATTGATTCTCACTGGCTGCTTTCTAATCCAGGGACGAACAGGACCTTTTTACTCTTTGATTTACAAATAAAGTTCATCCAACCGAACAGAAAATATTCATACAACCTATGAAGAACTCTAAAGCGTAATATAAAAATTATGTTCAAGTGAAATAGCAGCATAATATCAAACTGAAAAATATGGTGCAGTTCTCTTGCAGTGTTCTTTGAAGATTTTTCTTCCTTCCTTATTTCCCTCCTAATTTTTTGTGGTGACAAAATAAACCTGGATCCTCACTGACCCTTTTCTGTCTCAGGCGTTATTAAGAATTTCAATAACTGCTCTGAATGTAGATGTGGGCACATTTAGGCAAACAGCCTTTTTCCTCGCCACCATTTTGTGACTCATCACCGGATCGATACAGCGCTGCCTCACTCAAACTGCATACTTTCTTTACCTAGTAGGAAGAGGACATCAGAGGGACAGGCCTCAGCATATCTTCATAGTTAAATCATCCAAAGTATTTTTTTGCACACCAAATCTTTTGCAACACCAAAAATGCAGTTACAAATACATTAATTTTTTATAAACATCATTAGTAGAAACACAAATAAGGAAGATAAGTGTTATTACTTATCTTTTTCAATTGTTTATTCAGCTGCAATAAAAGATTAACTGATAATTTAAAAAGAAAATTGTACTGGGGGCATCAATAAATGTGCAGGAAGCTGTTAAACACTTTTGGTAAGTAAGCTTCCTTGTTTTAAAAGCTATAAATTGTATAAAATAAGTTTTCCCAACAAAGCAGCTGTCTGTACATCCGTAGGACAATACACAGACATAAAGAACAACCTACTCTCTATATAGTAGTGAGGCTATCTTGTGCTGTAATGTACTAAGGATTTGTGCAGGATAAGCTTCAAATAGCCATCCTGTCTCTGGTTTTATTTCTGTTTCCCCATCTGTGAATAATTCCATACATTTGAATTGTATTTCTGGTGATGCTGTTCCTCCCTCGCCGCTACAGCACAACTTCTTCTCCACTGCATTTGATCTACAATTTGTTTCTTGCCTCTCTTTTTACAGAGTCTATCTGACTGTATATATAAATATGTGAAAAGGGTGGAGGGGCTGCTCTGTGGGGAGATTGATGAAGTAATGGTGTGACAAAGATTTTGCAACAGAAAGGGAGGAAGAAGTCAGCAGTGGAGATGTTTTTGCATCTACTGTGCATTTGTCTGTGACGGCGGGAGGGGGGAATGATCTCAGCTACTTACATAATTGATGACTTTGAGCTGAAGAGAAGCGGCATCAAGGTCATAGAGCTCACCTAAAAGAGGACAAGGGAACAAAAAGAGAGAGAGAGAAAGAAAGTGACAAGAGTGAAAAAAAAACCTATGGAGGAGCAGGGGCAAAGTGACATCAGGAAAGAGAGGGAATTCAGATCATGTATGCAAAGGGACAGAGAGAAATCCAGAGAGAGGTGCACTCAGACAGCGAGGTCAAGGAAGGGTGAAAGGAGCCGGTTAACAGGGAGACTAATAACAAAGACAAGACAAGAGATGGAGAGCTGCCTGGACTGTAGAAGAGAGAGCCGGAAAAGTGAAGCAAAGGCAGGGGAAACTGGGGAGAAAAAAGGCAACTCATATTTATTGACAATTACTGGAGAGTAAACAATGTTTATGTATGTGTGCAGGAACAACAGGAGGTAGTCCACCTCCATTATGCATCAGAATTTAAACAACGTTTTGGTAAAGCATTCTGCTTTCAGAATATGAATCTAAATAAGACAGAGCCTCCATGCCACTGGGTCCAACTCTAATAATGCACTCAGTCTGTGACTGCATGACTGCTGTGTATGTATATAGATGTATAGTAAAGCAGGAACAGTAAGTTTTTGTGGTTTGATGAGTGTGTATGTGTGTGAGTGCTGCGAGCGTACCACAGAGCTGCAGAATGTTGCGATCAAGCTCGCAGTAGTCCTGCTCTGAGACATTGAGGTGCAGCAGAGCATTGTGGGACTGCAGTGGAGACGGGCTCAGAGGGGGCCTCTGATAGGATGCCTGCACAGCCTGGATGCGAACACATGCCACCGAGGCCTGCAGGGCCATAAAGCAGCAAACACAAACAAAGACAAGCAGCAAAGTCAGCTGAAATAGATATTTAACTTTGAGCTCTCTGCGCTTCTGTTTAATTATGCTTCTTTCCCAGATAAAGACAGTCACTGCGCTACTGCTGCCACTGACTCCACGGGGTTTGTTGTTTGTCTTTGCCTATAAAAAATAGTCAAGGATCAGAAATGTTATTTTTCTTTTGTTGTGTCTGCTTTCTGCCATTTCAAGTTCAAGTCGGCTGCAGCAGATGGCCAAGTCTGATTCTGCAGGACATTTATTCATGTTAAAGTTTATTCATGGTTCTTATTTACTGTTGCCACATGATTGAATAAGATGAGGCATAGCTGCAAAATCAATCACTTCTTCTAAGTTCAAATTATACCAACTTAGGAATTAATTATTTTTTGCTACATTTAATCTAACATCTATCCTGCATTTTTACCTGCAGGATAGAAATAATTCAGAATCAAAATGTAAAAAATGGAATAACCTGGTGGTACAGGTGTGTATCCCTCTAAAGTAATACTATGTTAAATTAGCAATCTTCTAAAGAATGCATAATGCATAAAATAACAATGGAGGCGCTGCAGTAAATTCAGGTGAATTCTGCTTGTGTTCTTCAAGTGACAATATTATCCAGTTTTCTGGACTGAAGACTAATGCTGAAAGACAGAAACCTTTTTCTAGGAGGAACAAAGTGTTAATCTGTGATGAAATAAAACTTGTGGGCCACTCTTCCAGAAAGAGAAGGGAAGCTGGGGTTACAATTTCAGACTGATTTAAGCTCATTTGTCAATGTGGATGAAATGTGAGCAGCTCTAAATAACTTGGAATTTCTACCTCAAACATGAAGGGTTTTAGCTGAAAGATGAAAAAGAAAAGGAATTATGTTTATCAGTATCACTGTGAGTCTAAGCTTACAAATAATTTAACAACAGACTGGCTCCACCTGAAGGAAATACGTTTTTTTTTTATGAACACAGGTAAAAATATAACACTTTGAGAGCTGGCAGGCTATATTATTTTCTTGTGTTGCACTGTTCTGCAGAACCTACTTTTGTCAAACCTTATTGAGTAAAACACCTCCAGCAACATACTGCAGCTCATGTTGCCAAGTTTTTTTCTTTCATTTCATGTTTGATCATGAAACAGAGAGAAAAGGGGATCTTACGTGTTTTCCCAGCACATTCAGATGCAGCTCGTCTTGATCTGATAGCGGGCCACATCCCACCTGCAGCACACAGAGACATACATACAACCAGTGAGATCTGAGCAGCACAAAGTCATGGTGTGGGCTGTGATGTCTCAGAATTCATTTTAGCTGTTAACTTCAATGAGCTCCCAACAATCTGCTTTTCCACAAAGAAGAGGCTGAATCTGCAGCATTTGATTCTTTTTTTTTTTTTCCCTCACCAGTAAGACGGCTAGGACCTTGGTGTGATCCTGATCCGAGATGGGAATTACAAGAGCTGAAAGACAATGAAGTAAAAATAAAATAAAGCTTAAAATAACTGGATAAAATAAATTTTCATGACTGCAGGTGTTAATCATGTTTGTTCTTTTTCTGTGTTTCATGGTAAAGACGAACAAAAAAAGAACGAGATAGAAAAAAACATATAAAGTACACAGCTGATGTCCTTGAGTGAGACTGCTTATTCCTTTCATTTGAGCAGCGACAAAGAGATGCTGCTTGTTGCGCCAGACAATAAAACAAGCAAGCACACAAACTCTCTTTCCTGCATAATTATTACACGTTCATTGGTATGCATTTATTCCCACAACACAAAGCGACTTTGCATATGTATTTTTTTTTTCGTCCACACATTCCTCAGGTTGTTCTCCGAATTCTTTCATTTGGCGAGCAGAAAGGAGTCTGTTCACACTCATCTCACTTTTTTTTCTCCCTCATCACAACCTTTCATTGCTTCTGTTAGGGTCCTTTGTATAATTTTGTTGCTCACCCAGCTGCATACCTCTCTCAGTGTAATTATCTTCTCTTGTTAACTACTTCTCTCTCCATCTCCTCCCTTTAGTTGTTTTTATATTTCCATGCTCTCGGCTCGCAGAGAAGGACCCATAATTACACATTTGCTTCCCTGTCTGGACCCTACATAAAACACTCAGCCGAACCTCTCCTGTGTGCCGGTAACGGTGCAGCGAGGAAGAGCCTGTATTTCTCTGGCAGTTCAGATGGAGGGAGACCGGCACACTCGCACCGCATCTGCTGCTCCACAGCACTCCTACAACAGACACAGAAAGGGTCTGAGTCAGGTTCCAGCAATGCAATAACACGCATGAAATTGGTCTAAATTAATTTCGTTTTGTCAGACACAGCGGAAACAAAACCTCAAGACGAGGTCTCTCTGGAAGAAATTCATTGCAGATGGAAAAACAATCACCAGCGTTAATAAAGCAGATGTGTTTTGTTAATTCACACTCGTCAAAACAGTGGTGAATAGAGCTATTATCCATTGTGAGAGGATATTGTAGGTTTTCATGGGGACAGCAGGGATGATGGGAAACCAGGTGCAATATATTCAGAACATGACATGAGCATTTTAAATTTCTCAGATGCACTAAACAAGCTCATTCAGAATTGGATAATTATGGGAAGAAAAAGCATAAGAAATCTAATCAGCATCACTGAAGCACACACAGGTAAAGCCAACATTTATGTATAGCATATAATAATCAGCCCTCTGACAGAATCACACATACACACCCATGCCTGCACGCGCACACACACACACACACACACACACACACACACACACACACACACACACACACACACACACACACACACACACACACATAAGAGGCAGCAGTCACTCCATTACATGCCCATAGAGTCTGAACCATCACACCCGCAACCACTGCAGGAAATCTCAGCATGGTGCATTGATTTCAAAGTGTCCATTTATTTCAGCTCACTGAGGAACAGTGCACTCCAATCAGAAAATATTCTATTGTGGCAAATACATTTGACCTTTGTGTAATGTATTTGTTCAAAGCAGCTCTGCAGCACTGCCCTGGAGCCGATGCAAACCAGCCCAGAAAAGTACAAAAACAACCAGCAGCTCTGAGAAGAATACAGATGCTAAGTATAGTAATGCTTTTACATAAAAGTTGGGTAGTTTCTGAGTTTGGGGCTTTAAACCTGGGGCATATTTAAGTGTAAATGACAGCAGAGACAATACAATAATGGCATGTGACTTATGAAGAACATGTATTGAAGAGGAACAAAGGCGTTGGTTATGAATTAAAACATCATTCATCTTTTCCATCTATCCTGACTAGTTTTCTAGTTCCTGCAGCTGAAAAACATTCCCACAGCACAATACTGCCACTATTATTTTTCAATAGCCTGAATACTATTGAATACATGAGTGGTGCCCAATATGTAGATTGCTGCACTGATGGTTGTTGTTCTCAAAGGTTCTCCTCTGTCTACAGAATAACACTCTTCCCCTCTGCTCAGTTTAGCAGGCCAGCTAATACTCAGAGGAATCCTGACAAAAATCTCATTTCTGAAGAAAAGTAATCCCACAGCATAATGCTGCCATTACCACCATTCACTGTGTATAAGGTTTTCTTTTTGGTGATGTGCTGAGCTGGAGGAGATCTGCTTTCTTTCAACTCTACGTCAAAGTTAAATGCATTAAATGCAGAAAAAGTCTCATTTGACCAGGGTCTGTAGACTTTTTCCATCCGCTGCAGTTTAAGAAGTGCTTTCTTTGACTGAGGAACTTTGGTTTACTTGCACATGACAAAAAAGTTTCAAAGAAAAAGAATCTCTGGAGTTCTTTCAGCTGAAAATGTTTGTGCATTAAGTGCGTGTGCCTGTGTATGTGTCAAGGTCTGGTTTATCAGAAAGTGGTTTCGAATCAGGCTCACACCAGATGGCCTTCCACCTATCAGATGGGTTCTCGCAGTGTAGGTAGATGGGGGCGTATATACCAAGGTCTTGATCACAGGCTTACGTAAGCAAGTGAATTTAAAAAGAGAAAAGTTAAAAGGGTCCAGTAACCCTTCAAATATCTGCAATCCATCAATCCATGAGTGTTGGTGAGGATGTGCATGTGTGAAACTGTAATGTTGAAGCCTGAACTTCTGTCTTTGCATGTTTGCATGGGATCCCATGTCAATGTGCCAGTAAGGTGTTAGAAGCTGGCCTCTTATTTTGACAAACAGACAGATTCATCAATAATGTAGGGCCAGTTTTTGCCAGCCCCTGGGCAGCAGTCACAGCAGCATATGTGCAAAGTTTCAGAGAGAGCACTTAGGAGAGGAGAGGATCGCCATGTCTCGCTAAGGGACAGAGGCGTACAGCTATCTGGGCGATTAGGTCTGCAACGCTTCCACGGGGAGAGGGACTGAAGGTGAAAGAGAGGTGGCAGAGAGACCAAACCACATGCAGTTCAGCGCTTTGAAAGAGAAAAGCATGGCAAGCTGTGTGAGTCGGGCAGTGAGGTAGAAAGCTGGAATGGGCCAGTAGATCACAAAAGAGGATTGGGGTGTCAGAGAGCCAAAGATGTTCAACAAGGTGAAAAAAAAAAGAGATGAAAAAAGAGAAACAGCAAGAGATGGTAACAACAAGACACCAGAGGAAGAGAATATTCTTGTGCTTCTGGATGATGGGATCTTTCTTGGTGACTTCTCCATCTTTGTGCTGATGAATGCTGATTTCTTTCAAGTGGTACCTGCTTTTCAGGTAGACAAAACAGCGTCGTCGCTTCCGCCCTCCTCCCTGTGTTTTGTTGCCTCTCTCGGCATCACTGCCCTGGACGGTGGTGCGGCAGCAAATCAACCCCCATCACTGAAAAACATCTGCAGCTCAGTGTATGCAGACACAAACGGTACACACCTGATCTTCCCCTCCTGTGGCACTTCATACGGCGGGTCGTCACACAGCAGCCTCGAGTCTCCCTCCAGCACGAAGATGCACACACACTCCTGGCATACAAAATCAAACAGACACATATGCGCACCCTCGTTTGAAACATTAATCAGATTGTAATTGATATAATGAGCAACGAGCCTCATGCATTTGCAGAAGGGTTTTGGCCTATATGCTCCCCGCGGTGATGTCGAGACTGACACAACAGTCTCCATCATTCTGCATATTAACACGAGGCTTTATTTTCCCCAGGTAATAAATGGAGAAAATTTCAATTGTGTTCATTTGCAAATGTGAATTATATACGTGCAGATGTGCGAGAGGAAGAGAGAGCAAATACCGTGCTGGGGAGCAGCTCCTGAATGCTGTCTCGCAGGGCCACTCGGAGCGAGCGTACATCAACAACTGCTGCCAGCCGCAGCAAGGCATCCTGGAGAGGAAGACAAACAAATTCCCTCACATGTAGTTGGCTGTTTGTTTATGACAAAAAAAAGAAAAAAAAAGAAGAAGAAGCAGGGACCTTGGCTGCCATTTTGTGTTTTCTTCGTAGGAACAAGGTTTACACAGTCAGAACTATTTATTCGTAATGACTTTGCAAGGTTTCAAAGACCTTCTAAGTAATTTTTCTAAATGCATCCTGCTCTGTAGTTGGCAACACAAGTGTCACTCTTGGAACATAAAGTGAACTCAGACAGCAGAATTAGTTTTGCTCTTCACCGCACTCGGCGCTTTGTTTCGATTTGGATCTGTGAAAACAAAGCACTTGAAAATTCATTTGCAGAGTTTGGTAGGTAGCTGACTCACGGAGTTAAAGTGCATGGGAAGTAATGGGCAGCTCTCACAGAAGCACTTAACTTGCACCTGAGTGTATGAAAATGTGTTGATCCTAATTAGAATGGCTGTGCTTAGGATTTGAATGATTCAGCTAATTTCCACACCAAAAACTAATATCTTCACAAATCCTAAGGTCAACGTGTCAAAACAAAAAAGCTGACAATTGGAGCTAGAAGAAACTAAGGGAACTTAATTTCACTGAACTGAACACTTTGGAGATATACATTAATCAGGCAAACCTTTAGGAGGATCGACAGGTTAACCAAATCACACACGGGTATTTTGTAACCTGCAACTTGTAGATGCATCCCTGCTTCAACACATCAGAGTCAAATGGCTGAAGTCTCACATCAGTCATTCAGCTCTGCAAAGGCCTTTTGTCATTTCACTCATTTACACTGGAGACAGGAAGCAGAAAAACTTTGCAGGATAATAGCTCAATAAAATCTCTAAAATCACAGCTCTTATGGAGTCTATATGCCTATACTCGTCCCCATTTATGTAGAGAATAATAATGTGATGGCTTGAGGGTTACGGAACTTTTGAATACTTTTAACCTTCTGCCCCTTTCCTTCAGTAAGCAGAACTCTTTATGGACAAAATGAAAAAACTTTTCAGCAAACATGTAATTGTTCTCTGTTTGTTCCAAGCCAATATAATGTTTCCCCCTAACTGCATGCAGTTTTACAAATGCCGATCACTAATTCTTGTAACATTAGTTACAAGAATGAAAACACACAGCCACCTTCTAATCTCTTACACTGCATTACCTGAGACTTGCTCTATATTATATCCAGCTAACAAAATTACTCCAGAAGGGGACCTTATGGGTGTGCTTGGTTTGGTGATGTTCAACCTCTATTTGCACAAACAGCATCCTTTAAATTCTCATCCACCAACAGATTTGCCATGTGGTTCTGGATTTTGATTTGGGTGATACAGCTTGCTGCTCAGGGCGATGCATCGCGAGAAGCAAATAAAAACGTATCTCTTAAGTTAGGTTCGTAAAAAGTTTTCTATGGCTTATTTGTCTGTGTAATGTAACCACAGAAATATTGTGCAACATTTATGGGTAATGATTTTAATGCAACTTTTGATTCAATGCTAAATTAAAGGGATATTTCAGTGTCAACTGACCTCATTCTTATCTGTCTATCCATTATGGACGAATGCACCACTGAATACATAGACGCATATAAATTGAGGTACATTTCCAGGACGCCACTGATTCAAGAACAGCTGCCGATGCTCTGTGTGAAATTTCATCTTGTCAGCATATGCAAAAACATTTTCGCATCTTTCCCCCCTGTTTATTCTTTACCCGCAGTTTAGATTTGCAATAAAAATCATTGCCCATTGACATCTGAAGCCTGTGACTTACAGCTCTTTATAGTTTCTGACACAAACAGGAACCCCTGGAACTGCTGCTATGCTAATTTGCGGTCTTTGCTTGCCAGCTCTGTGCACAAAAGCCAGACTGTTTATACCTACACTGACTGAGCAGACTTGAGAGAAATGTATGAAGAATAAAGAAATGAGAGCATAAAAGAGTAGCTCAAGCCTTGGCCACTTTCTTGACTGTGCACACTAATCTGTTGGCCAGAGGGAAAGACTTCCAGAGTCAATTTCAATGTCAAAAATATTTAAAGGATGGGGGATCCAACGGCTTTTTAACTATCTTATGAATATGTCAGTTTAGCGATACTGTTGGCTTAGTAGTTGTTTAACCATAGAGTAGTTTGCTTTTCCCTAAAACTCTGTTCTTGTCACTGTGGAAAAAAAATCCTATATTATACAGCCCCGTCTACATTTATTGACACTCCTAATAGAAATTTGAAAAAACTCAGAGCATGATAAAAAGATAAATTTAGCATTGTTTGACAGAGTTCAAATTATTTGAAAGCTTTTTATGCACTATTCTGATGGAAGCTATGAGCAAATTTATAATGAATAGCTTTTTAATTGTAATAGTTACTACGCAAATGAAGATCTTGTGTCTTATTTGAATAGTGACTGATCTTCCAGGAAATCAAAAAATGATGTATCCAAGTTTTGAGCCATATAAAATTACACAATTGTGGCAGCAGTAAAATTCGTAAAAAATGAAATAATGGTGAACTTTAAATCCAATGAACAAAAGCACTTGAATGTCTTAGATGTTTCACATTTTCAGTATGAAATACTACTGCTAAAAAGTTTAGACTATTCCAAGGATTAAAAAAAAATCTCATTATCAAACGTGGAGGCCTGACAGAAAAAAAAAATCTGCTACATGCAGAACCACGTAAACATCTCCACTCTATGAAATAGGAAAGACATGAGCCTTGCAAATGTGCTTCCCTCATGACATTTCACAGCATACACTTTTTATGCCCTGTGTGGTCTACTTAAATCCCAACCTGTTAGTGTTATCATAAAGCATCATGATTTCTTGTTACCAATGTCTGAAGAAACATCTCAGTGGGACCTCAACATCTGATCAAAGCACAGGAAAAAGAAAAAAAAAAGAAAAATGAAGACTTAACATCCTGCAGCACCGAAAACTGTATTCTGAATCTAAATTGAAAAGAAAAAGCTATTCGGCTGCCTTGACTGTGAATACCTCAAAGTGTTTGTGTGCCTGCTTCCAGATTTAATGCTTTTAATGAGGGTGTCCATCTGTCACCTCTGTTTTTCATAATTTTCCTACCTTTTTTTGTGTGTCTCTGCTGTTTCTCCTCCATCTGTGTTCAGTCTTATTTTGCTTTGGACTGAGGGTAAAATGTGAAAGAGAAGAGATTGGGGGATGATGAAGGGGGAAATGATGGGGCTTCTCAGACTGCAGAGATGGTTTTGAAAATGCCAAATGTGAAGAAGGAAGAAAAAAAAGGAGAAAACTGGAGAGTGTTGTCATGGCTGCGCACTCGATGCTGGTCATTACATATGATTAGATTTGATTAAATGCGATTAGCTTTGATCACTCAATCAGCACGTTGTAATGAAGTTGGAGCTACGCCAGCCCATGTGTGAGCATCAGTATGTGTGGGAGGACGTCAAGGTATGTGTGTTTCATTTTAAGTTATGGATCTGAAGATGCTTAGACAAATTCCTGTATGAAATTTGTCAAAGCATCTTGACAAATTAAACAACAAATTAAGCAACTAAACAAAGCACTAAAAAGGGACAAAAAAAAAAACAACAATGTTTTTTTTAATCTCATGAAGTTGTGAACAACGACGTGACTAACTCAAAGTATAACTCTTGTGTCTTTACATTTGTCCTTTTGGATAAACAAAGCACTGTAAACATTGTACAGAATAAGAACAAAAAATCTCAACTTTTTTTCCTTATTCACTAAAAACAGCACTGAAAACTGCAGCAGTTTTCAGTGCTGCAGGATGTTAAGTCTTCATTTTTCTTGCCAACCTTAGTGCGTCACTGTTTGTGGATGTATGTTGCTCGCAATAAGATGTGTGCCTCTGTAAATGTCAAACGCTGTCCTATGACCTTTCCCAATAATTTCTTACCATGTAGCTCAAACCATCTGTTACATTAATTTACCTGCCTCTCCATCCCTCACTGCACATCCTCTCTCCTACACACACACACACACGCATGTGAGAATCAAGCACCAAACATGACTGTTTATTACTTTGTTTCTATTCCCTAATGTCTAAACACTTAACCTTTTGCTTAAATTAAAAAGAAAATCTTAAGGTAAAATAGATGACACTAAAATCATGGAATTTAGTGTCTTTTTAAATATCGATTTATTTTATGTGAAGGATAAACACAAAGCAGTGTACAGTTGTTAAATGAAAGAAAATGATGATTGTGTTTTTAAATGTTTGTATTTTTTAGTAAAACCTGTAAAGAGTTGTGTGAATTTGTATTCAGACAGACTGAGTTAATACTATGTCCAAAAACAGAAAGGCTCTTGGATGGAGAGTACAAGCGATCATAAATTTTCTTAAAACACAATGTCATGCTGTGACCTGAATCAGGTTTAAGGTTTTCTTCCAGACTTGCACTGTATTTAGCTCAGTTTTGAGAAGCGTGATACTGCCACTGCTGTGGAGAGGGTGCGCTTCAGGGTAATGTACTGCGTGGGTTTTTTATAGTATACAATAGATTTTATGTAGGCTAAAAAGTGTCATCTAACCAAAGGATCTTCTTCCACTTGTTTGCACAGCCCCCAACATAGTTTAGGTCAAACTCCAAATGAGATGTGTCTCTTTCTTTCTTGTAAAATCTTGATTTGTGGATTCGGAAAATAATTCAGTTAATTTCAAAAATACTTTATTAATCCCATAGGCAAATTAAATAATTGTTAAATAATAAATCGAAATACTATGTATACACTGTAAACAAACATTTCTGTGACTGAGTTACCATGGACCTACTGCATGTTTCTCTGATTTATGTTCTTCTCCTGCCAGTTCTGGTAAAAGTCGACGTTTTGGTAGCATGTTTGCCGTACTCTCAATATTTTCACTTTCACTTTCATTTGAGAGTTCATCTGGTGTGGGGAGATTTAAAAGTTTGTAGGGTATGAGGAAATCATAAGATCTTGCATCTTCTATCTGTTCCTTTTCGAATGAATAATCTAAAATTTTA